TGCGACGCCGAAAAGACTCGTCCCAGGATGACCAGGCCAAGCAGGTGCTGAAGGGCATGACTGATGTGGCACAGGAGAAGAACAAATCCATTGAGGTAAGACCCTGCCTCAGCACTACAGCGAGACTTCGGAAATACATTTATGAAGTAATGCGTGCTAAAAACTAAAGTATATGGTCCAGTGTTGTAGCTTTATCTCGTGATTTATTTAAAGAGTCTCCTGTTCCAGGCGGTCTTCATCTAAACTCTGTGCCCTGTAAAAATAATTGGGAATTAAAAAGTTAAAAAATCCAAATGAGTTCACAAAGTTCATGTTTCATATTTTGAGGGAAGACCAAGTACATGGTGTTTTTCTGATGTGGACACAGCACCTGAGTGAGCAGTCTTGAAAGGACATTGCCTCTAGGCCTGACTTGTCCTCTATCTCTCCCTCTCCCAGGAGAACGGAGATATGAAATACGGTGACCTGAAGACACGGCGCTGGGATAAGAACCTGGAGAAGCCTCAGCTGGATTACTCCGAGTTCTTCATGGAGGATGTAGGCCACATCCCTGGAGTCACTGTGTGGCAAATAGAGAACTTCATCCCCACACAGGTCGATGAGACTTTTCATGGGAAGTTCTACGAGGCAGACTGTTACATCGTACTTAAGGTAACGGCGTAATATTGAACCTCATCCTCCTCTGGCTAAAGGGTTTAATTTTTATGAATCCAGTCATAACAAGAGTCCTAAATAAGACAAGGAGGTGTTGGGGAGCACGTCAATTCTGTCCTCCATGTTACTTTGTTTTGCAAACGTGTGTCTGGGTTTTTGTTTTTCAGACTTTTCTAGATGAGAACAGCTCCTTGAACTGGCACATCTTTTACTGGATTGGACAGGAAGCTACTCTAGATAAGAAGGCCTGTTCTGCCATCCACGCAGTTAACCTAAGGAACTACCTGGGGGCGGAGTGCAGGACAATCCGGGAGGAGATGGGCGAAGAAAGTGAAGAATTCAGTGCAGTAAGTACAGGGGCAGAGCCCTTTCTGTTGTGTAGGTGTAGATGTGCTTGTGTTTTTCTGAAGGAAGATAGACGCCCTTATTGATGTACCTTTCATTGATAGGTCTTTGGCAACGACATATCCTACATTGAGGGAGGGACAGCCAGTGGCTTCTACACTGTGGAAGACTCGCAATATGTCACGAGGTAAAAAGAAATCTTTCCTAAAGTGTGATAAAAATGGATGAATGGAGTTTATTCATTGAAAATAATATGCAATTACAGTTTTAATGACTTTTTTTATTTGGTGGAAGAATGATCTGCCATGGTGTGTGTCTGTGTCTCTGTGGGCCCTGTGATGGACTGGCATCCTGTCCAAGGTGTACCCTGCCTTGTGCCCGTTGCTTGCCAGGATAGGCTCCAGTTCCCTCGTGACCAATTGTGGATAAATTGACAATTCCTAATGCAAGAAATTGTAAAGGGTTAATAAAGTGATGTTACAGCAGTTAAAAAAATGGATAGATGGATGAACTGCTGTGTTAAGCACATAATTAAGAACCTCGGTGGTTTTAAACTTGTCTGATTAAAAACGGGCTTGTTTCCTCTACAAACAGGCTGTTTCGTGTATATGGCAAAAAGAACATCAGGCTGGAGTCTGTTGCGCTGAAAACATCTTCTCTGGACCCACGGTGAGCTCTGGAATCCTTCCTACTCAGTGTTAGAATGGTATTTGTGCTGGAGGCTGAAGAGTAGTCGGCCAAATGAACTACAGAAATGCTATTAACATTGTGCATTCTAAAAACAGTGTGAACCTCTTATGAAGTATAAATATTCTGTTGAAAGAGACTAGAGGGATTTTAGAATAAAATCATACGGAGGTGTCTAAGCTGTACTTTTTAATGCACACTGGTTTTATGATCTCATAAAAAAAAAGACTGTGAATATGATACATTCCAGATTATTGGAATATTACAATATTATTATTATTATTATTATTATTGGAATATTCCTGACACTGGAATATTACATTCAAGCGTTGGATCAGATATGCTCACAGGATGATTGTGTTTTCAGACGTTTCTGTAAGAAAGTGTTTCTAGATCCAGAAGTACTATTAGGAATTCATTTTGCTTGTGTTCCTGCTCTTAAATACAGCGTCTACTGTTTCTCTTGTGCAACAGCTGCAAAGCTTTGCAGGCTTCTGTATCGCTGTTGCCTTTCTGGTTAAGTGTGCATTTGGGTATATCGTGTGTTTCCTTTCTATGCTCATTGGAACACTGTGTTTGTCCATTTGCCAGGTTTGTCTTCATGCTGGATAATGGTCTGGAGATATTTGTGTGGCGCGGAGCTCAGGCCACACTGAGCAACACCACCAAAGCCAGGTACACTAGTTACCTCCGAGTGAGAGGTGCTTTTTTTCTTTTCGGAGTTCCACCTTAAAAGGGAATGTGGTCTCAGTTAGCCTTTTGAAGATCAGAGTTGCAGGGCTAGCAGTGAAAAGAATCAAATGTACGCTATAAATACCCAGTGTGGTATTTATGCTGGGTGTTACAGCCAATGAAGGTGGTTGCTGAGAGCACAGGTGGAGCCCCAGGCAGTCATGTTTCAAGCATGAGTTACGTCGCTGACCAGCTATGGCTGGAATACGCTTTGTGTGCCACTTAGGTAGAGAGGCCAGGACCGTCTTGTTTTTTGTAGAAATGCTGACTCCTCCTGGAGACACTACACTATTGGTGAGGGGGTTTCTTTCTGCTTCCCCAGCTGGTGTTAAAGCCACTGTAAGGCACTGTGGTGCTTGCAGTGTGTTAAAGGATCAGTCTGGAGGCTGAAGGAGGAGCATGTGTGAAGATCCTTGCTCAATTCTAGTGCAGTGTAGGTTCGCATGCTGCATATAGCAAGTGGAGAAAACCCATTATATATAGTTTTTTTTTTTTAAAGACCTGTCTGTTTAATATTTGCTGCTACTAAGTCACGTTTTTAGGTTTTTTGTCTTATAAGAAATAATGATGGTTTCATGTCACGAAAGTGACTTTGAAGAGTGCTGAAAACAATCAAGTGCAAAACAGATTCATAATACTTATTGTAACGTGATTTCATGTAAATATTAAATTAAAAGGGAGATTCTGATGTTATATACCTTACATCCTCATACCATGTGCGCAGTTGGTTGACTCAGGATATGCAGGGAAAGTTCAAGTGCCCTCCTGTTATTTTTTTTTACATGTTTGTGTCCATTTGGGTAGGTTGTTTGCAGAGAAGATCAATAAGAATGAGAGAAAGGGCAAGGCAGAAATCACACTGCTGGGTCATAACCAGGAAACGCCAGAATTCTGGGAGCTGTTGGGAGGACAGCCAGAGGAAATTAAGAAGCATGTTCCAGATGACTTCACTCCGGTTCGGCCAAAACTTTACAAGGTAAAAGCAGACTCATTAATCCTGATTTTTTTTAGTTGACAGTTTCCACAAATTGTTGACACCTGTACGTCAGCCGTAACCTTATTAATCCAAAGCTGAGAGCTGCAATCGTGCTCTTAAGTTTTGATGTGTGCACAGCCAGATATTGAGGTTGCTGCTATCCAGTATGTTGTAGATAAACCTTGGAATTAAATGGGACCAAATTCACATTTTACTGAGTGGTACCAGGTGGGTTATGGCCTGAAAAGATGTATTATGCTGCTAAAGTAGAAAATGAAAATGGGTCTCCCACTCTACTTTTCAAAACTCTACCTTAACGTGATTCACAAAATATGAATGATGGCTCAGGAATTCATCTTTTGTTTCTGTAATCGCTTCTTCATCAATTGAATTCATCGCAGCCTCATTGCTTTGTTTTTGTCCTTTCTAGGTTGGTCTTGGCCTGGGCTACCTAGAGCTCCCGCAGATCAACTACAAACTGTCGGTGGAACATAAGGAGAAACTCAAGCTTGATGTTGTTCCAGAAATGAGACTGGTACTGTTCAAAGTCTTAACGGTCACGTGCAACAACAAAGACTGCATTCCTGTTTATTTTGTGCCACGTTATGTATTTGCTTACAATCATTGGAAATGTCAGTGCAACTTGATATCGAGATCTCTTCATGAACGCAGGTCCAGAGTCTCCTGGACACCAAGTCCGTGTACATCCTGGACTGCTGGTCCGACGTGTTCATCTGGATCGGACGCAAGTCCCCCCGGCTGGTGAGAGCGGCGGCCCTGAAGCTGGGGCAGGAGGTGTGCAGCATGTTGCACCGGCCCAAACACGCCATGGTGATCCGCAACCTGGAGGGAGCCGAGTGCCAGGTACGGGCTGCAGCTGCGTCTCCTATCGTCAGGGGACCACTTGAACCTGGTCTCTGGGAAAGGTCAGGCACCTGCCCTGTGATCAGTTCACCCAGTTTACTTTCTCCACTGTCTGGTTATTGGGGCCCGAGTTCCTCCCAAGTTTTTAAGCCTAGCTCTAGGCTAAAGACAGACCTTGCATGTGAAGCCATTGATTCACAAAGACATGGAGAGAGCAAGTCCTCAGCATATTTCTGCTTACTGTGCATCCATGACTAGTTAATTGTCCTAACAGGTTTGTTTTCACTGTATCTTTTTATTTAAAGAGTACCTCTTTAATGTGTGCGTGTAGTTGGGTCTGTCAGTCATTTGTTTGATCATTCTGCATCCGTGACTTGGTATTGAGTGTATTGTTATGAATTGAGGGGAGCAGAGGTAAAAATCCCAATTCTAGATTACAAGCCCCCCCCCACAGGCATGAATGAAAACTGGTCAATCAATTTGTGATTTTTTTTTTTTTGCTTCTTTGGCACAGTAAGAAGATGATTAAATTAGGCACAAACTTAGATAAATTGATTTATAATGCTGAACTCAAACAAGTTATTTACAAAGACTGCGAGCCTCCTGAGTCCTGACTTTCTACAATCAAAGTTATCCTGACTCATCACCTCAAAAGATTGACAGTCAATGCTCAGAAAAGCTTTATTGGTTTTCAGTACACAAAGAGTTAACCTGCAGTGCTGGTGCTTTGTTTTGTTTGTAGGAAGGTGGAACTCTCTCTGTCTTTCTTCCTGATTAACTGCGGTGGTCTTGTTGGACCGGCTACTCACCTCTGAATTTGCCATTTCATTATCTTGTTTGGGCATCTTTCTTAGAGGTCACTGCCCACCTGTGTCTCTCAATCCGAGAGAAGGAGTTCACTGTATGTGGCTTGGGATTATAAAACTGACTTCTTTGGCTATCCTTTGTTCCAGGACTGACGTAGCAACAGGCTTGTAATTGGTTCATAGTAGCAGAGAATGCTCTAAGAAGCCCGCAACCTGACCAGGGACTTTCAGTCTGCACAGTTTTCTAGACATATTGGAGCTGCCCAGCATGTGGCTTGCACAAGCCATACTGTATGTGTGGTTCTTATTGTTAATAGATTCTACTGGCAAATTTGGGCATAATGTTTGTCTCTATCATAATTGATCATGGTAGAACTACTATACCACCCAGTGTAAAACATATAACTATCAGAGTTGCAAGTGCATATTTTCATCTAGTTAGTAACAATTCAGGAATATTTTGTTGTCACTGAACACATGATCACTGATCATTTTTTTTTTTAGTGATTTAGAAGCAGTGGTAAATACTCGATCTGCTCCATGCTGAAACCACGCTGAAAGTGGCATACAGTTCCAGCAGAAGTTCTACTATTTCCTCAGTTATTTTGTTTACTGTTCACTGTTTACATACTAATATTTTTTCAAATCTGAGTTAAACAAATAGATATCGCAAGAATCATTATATGCTTTTTCATCACCGAAAAGTACAAAAGAAGAGTAGTGACTTATTTTTCTTCATGACCATTTGAGTACGTTTGTAGTAAGAACCGGTCTTGTGTTAGAGTTTCTTAAAAGGGAGGCATGTTTTCCAGAAATGATCTTAATTTTCAGTCTTTTTTTAGCACTTCTACAGAATTCTGGCAAGGGTAAATTGTTTTGATTAAAGGAACAAAATGAATATAATTGCACTGATCCCATCTGTGTCAAGTAATCACAGGGGAGGATATACATGCTGATATAGAGGAAAAGGCGATTTTAAAAGGAATGTTTTGCTGTGTTTCTCATCATTTTTGAAATGGGAAAAGTGAATCAACAGTGTGTACCATTTAAAAATAAAACGGAGCTAAAAAATTAGACCATGTGCAAGCAGCTCTGTGACTGTATCAGGATCTTTTTCCGCCCTCTCTTGTGTTCATATAGGTTTTCAAGTCCAAATTCAAGAACTGGGATGATGTGCTGAAGGTTGACTACACCAGGAATGCGGAAAGTGTCCTGAAGACCAAGGGCCTAACTGGGAAAGTGAAGAAGGACGCTGAGCAGAAGGACCAGATGAAGGCCGACTTGACAGCCCTGTTCCTCCCAAGACAGCCTCCCATGCCCCTTGCAGAGGTGTGGTCTTAGACATTCTCCACGTCTGTCATCAAAGCAATCAAACCTTGTTTTATTGCTAAAGAGGGCTTTCTTCCATCTGAACTCACTTAGTCGTGACAGTAAAGAAGTTACCTCATCACCAGCGTCCAGCTCTTTCGCTAATATAGGTGGATTAGTGGTTATGCAACGGACATATTCGTGTGAATATTGGTCAGTTGCAGATGATCAGTTAATAAAAATGATGCCGAAAACATTTAATCAGTAGACATATTAGCCTAGACTATCAGTAGATGTCTGTATTCTTTTCTTCTAAATGTGTATAAATAGTAATACATCTGTTTTGATGGAAATTTTGTACTATAATATGGTATATACTATAAAAGTATAATAATAAATATGGTATTTTGATAAGCACAGTTAACATACTCAACCATATTTCAAGAAAGATGGTTTTCATTCAGATTTGAACCATAGCAGCTTGAAGAAAACTACTGGTTCCTGTTAAGGCCAGGATATTAATCATCTGAAGCAAAGCCATGTTTATGAATAGTTACTTTTAAAACGTGTGATGGCTTTCAAGGCCTTGCAGTGCTTAATGTGATTTTAACGTCTCTCGCGAACCAGTTCTAATTGTGCCGATGTGTGCGTGTTGGTCCACAGGCAGAGCAGATGATGGAGGAGTGGAATGAAGACCTGGATGGGATGGAGGGTTTTGTTCTCGAAGGAAAGAAGTTCGCCCGGCTGCCAGAAGAAGAATTTGGGCACTTCCACACACAGGACTGTTACGTCTTCCTCTGCAGGTGAATCGGAGCTGAATTAAGCAAATTTACTGTGCTATATAAAGGCGCCGTCCTTCAGATGTGAAGCAAAACCAAGGTCCTGACTCTCTGTGGTCATTAAAAATCCCAGGGAGTTTCTCGAAAAGAGTAGGGGTGTAACCCTGGCGTCCTGTCTAAATTTCCCATTGGCCTTTCCCAATCATGGCCTCCTAATAATCCCTATCTGTGAATTCTGTTCTCCTCCACACTGATAGCTGGTGTGTGGGGAGCGTTCTGGTGCTCTATGGCTGCTGTCTCATCATCCAGGTGGGGCTGCACACTGGTGGTGGTGGAGGGGTTCCCCATTACCTGTAAAGCACTTTGAGTGGAGTGTCCAGAGAAGTGCTATAGAAGTCTAAGCAATTATGATAAAGAAGGTGTTTCTTATGCCTTTTCCCACATTTTTTTCCCTTCCTAAAGTCAGACACACAAAAATAGCTTACAGTATTTGCTTGCGTTCAGCATGCAAATGTAGCCATCAGTATGCTGTGCTTTAGGAGGAATAACGTTGAGATAGTACAAACTGTGGAAAAAATATTCTCCTGAGCACTCATGATGTTTCGTACCGGGATAGTCGCCTTCATAATTATCTTCTGTCTATTTTCTTTTTGGAATGATCACTAGTGAACACTAGCCTTGAATCTATTTTGAAGTACAGGCTCGTTTACTGACTTTCTGCGGGACGTTACGCTTGATTTAGGCCCGCTTTTAAAACCTTCCCCAGCCATGTCTAGTCGTACAGTGTGTAATGATCCTGAGTGGGCAGTGGCCGTGCAGGGCCCCCAACTTGTCTGGACCCCTGCGCCGCGTCGGGTTCCGGGCCTTGAACTGGTCTCGTCGGCTGCTCTGCACAGGTACTGGGTGCCCGTGGAGTACGAGGAGGATCCGAAGAAGGGAGACAAAGACAAGGGCAACGAGGAGGCCGAGGAGGAGGAAAAGCAGCCGGAGGAGGACTTCCAGTGCGTGGTTTACTTCTGGCAGGGCCGGGAGGCCTCCAACATGGGCTGGCTGACTTTCACCTTCAGCCTCCAAAAGAAATTCGAGAGTCTGTTCCCTGGCAAGCTGGAGGTAAGTGAGAACGTCCCTCGAGCCTTTTACATTGTGTGCCTGGCCTGCTGTTTTAGGGCCCTCCATTGCTGGAGCTGGTTACAGCATACTCGGACATACAGGATCGTTACTCTAATTAAGTCCAGCTTTTACGAGCTAAAATTAAAAATTGTGCTGTGTTGGTAGCCCAGACAGTTCATTGCTCATACTGCAGCGCCCCGGTTCCTCAGCAGATGGGGTTGGTGAGCTAATCAAAACTATTTTCTAACATTTGTGATGAATTAATACTCTCAGTCACATCAACAAGCAAAGGAATAGGAGTGGCCATGATAAATTGGCTTGCTTCTTGGCTTCCACCATTTCAAAAGTGAAAATTAGAAAGCGCATAACCACAGAGAAACAACTCAATTTTCTGTGGAGAAATCTGAATGACCTTCATAAAAGAAGAGTCTGGTTAATTAATTTATTTTGAAAAAATTTATGGTATAAACCGATGCCTGGGCCTCAGTTTATTTTCCCACTATGGTTTCAGTTATTAGGAGAAAGTTAATAAGCAGAATCGGACTGTTCTTTGAAAAGAGGTCAAGGTTTTGATGTTCTACAAATCTGAAGAAGGGCAAATGATGATAACTTTAAAACTACTCTTGAAGAGCTGAGTGTTGTCAATATTTGAGAATGTTATGGGCTGTACACAGCCGGAAATCTAAGTAGGACTTGTGAGAGGTCTTCTGCAAGGTTTTTGTTCCAGAATGTCTAGCTGCAATTTTTTTTTGCCCGGTTCTGAAATCCAGTAAATGTGTAGAGCTAGTGTCTTGGATCTCTGTACTGTTCCCAGCCCAGAGCCAGGCTGTGGTGGTAGATCATTGATTTAAAAAATGAAACGCAGCATAGACATCAAGACCTTAAAATGAAAGAGTTTTAATTAGTCTTTTCACTTTTTACATTTTATCTCAAATTCTACACAGATAGGTAAATCTCAAAGTCAATATTTAAGGAGTGCTTTTTTTCATAAACCAAGGTTTTTGCGATATCTTACTACAATGACACTTTCCGCATGGTTTGTACCTGAGAATGGTACTGGAGGTGAATGTCAGAACCGAAATGTTCCAAAATCGAGGAGAACACTGTGATTTGTTTTCACCTTAATATGGATTGGGCATCCACAAGTACTCAATAAAATGTTACTCCACATCCTTCCTTAAATTTTACATGTTGCAGACCCGATGTACTGTATGAGCCCCTGTGTGTGTACTTTCAGGTTGTGCGAATGACTCAGCAGCAAGAAAACTTGAAGTTTCTTTCACATTTCAAGAGGAAGTTCATAGTGCACAAAGGGAAGAGAAAACTGAAAGACAACAATGTGCAGCCCAGCCTGTACCACATCAGGACAAATGGAAGTGCTCTCTGCACCAGGTAAGCCGGACAACAGCTGGACTCTTGGCAACATCTGGAAATTTCTGTGTAGATTGTTTTCCTTTCATAATTAGAGAAAATGACTAAAGGCTTAAAAATGTCAGTTACAAATATTCTACCTCATATAATATAATGTAAGCAAAGAATAACAGAATATAAATTATTTTAAATAATCATGTTGTTGGCCCTATAGTGTGAAATTGTATGACAGATCCTCAGTGGCTCATAATGAAACTATGATTCATTAAAACGCTAAGAATAATGAAATAGAACTAATGGAAAACAGTAGGTATTTGAGAGATACCAAGGATGTTTTGCAGATGCTCAGTAACAGTGGTCCTGGTATATTAGTGATATTCTATTTTGCTGTATGTTATTGTACATGTTGTTATATCATGTTTTGTAGTGTTTATGATAAGAATCAGAAATGTTTTTATTTGCCAAGAACAAAACATACAACGAATTTCTCTTGGCACAGGTATCAACGTAAATTCCAGTAAAATAAAAGAAAAAAAACCTACAGATAAAAACAAATTTCGCTGACATTTCAAAGTATATACAGTTGAATAATCATTGCAGTACAATGAGTACTATATATATTTACAAAAAATATCAGCAGCATGTGCCATTAAATACAAACGTACAACTAGTCACAGAGAAGGAATACAAAAAGTGTCCTTGATTAGGAGAGGTATAGACTGGGGAAAGAGCTACAGTATATAGGTGTCAGTTAGTCCCAGTTTTTAGGACTCTCACTCTTGGTCACCGCTGAGAGGGAAAACGCTGGAAGAGAGAGTGGAGTGGAGCACAGTGGAAAGCACAAAAGCAAACATTGTGAAATTAAAATCTTAAATCACACCTGGTTAAGGGATCCTTAAGGGATTATGTGTCTTATTTTTTTATTTTATTGTTTAGGACAATCCAGATTCCTACAGACTCCAGCAACCTCAACTCTGAATTCTGTTTCATTTTAAAGGTATGTTAAGTGTTTCAGGTCAGTATTTATATAGGACTTTATATGTTCAGGGTCCTTTTTTACTTAAATGCTGAATGCAATGGCAGTATACTAAAGCTTTTTAATAAAAGCACAGTTCAACACTAATAAATTATTTCTAGAATGTTCTGTCCGTAAAGCTAAAATGACCGAATTTAAGCAAAAACGACAGATGTGTAAAGCCTGAATGAAAGAAATCAAGAACAGTGTTTTGTTTCTAAGCTAAATTCTTATCTGTTCAGTCATTACATTTTGTATAAGATGTTTATATTTTTCCTTGTTCTGCTCCATGCAAATCATTTATTTAGTCATGTCATTTCCTAAGTCGACCACAAAAATTCGGCCAGCTGTTTCTGATTTCCTTGCCTTCTTTCTGTCAAGAGCCAGGGTCTGTAACTCCCTCCTGCTGTGCGCAGGGGCTGACCTGTCACACCAGCAGATGTAGGTGGATGCAGCTGTTGCTTTCTCAAGATAGGCAGTTGGTTAAACAAATTCTGTTTTGAATCTGTTCCAGTTTGGGGTAGAACTGGAGAACTCTGGAGACCTAACACTGATCCATCCTCAACCTGTCTGTACCACATTTTACAACATTGAACTCTTAGCTTAGAGATGGAAGTAGTTCCTAGATCATGCCTAGATCATACTTTTCATCCCCCTGATTTTTGTTTTCGTTTGCATTCAGCATTTTTTTCAAACAAAAATCCTTCGTTTTTGTTCCAGTAGCCTCTCAGTTTACCCCCAGTGTTCAATAACATGCATATCCATAGAACTGTCTTGTGTGAATATGAAACTATCACTTATGAAACTTCTGGGAAGATTTAAGGAAATCCAGATGTCTCTGAGGAAAAAACTTACAGTTCATGAAAATATTTTTCAGGACTCGTAGTTCCATTTTCTGTGGAGTAGTAAAGGCCTTTGGCTTCTCCTATAAATGCAAAATCTCAACATTGTTTTATCTGTCAACAGGACCTTGTTTCACCTTCCACTCCATTATTGAAATTGACGCAAGGTTCCTGTTGTCATCGTGCGTTTACATCTTAAACTTGATGTAACGTTTGTATTAGCTGTGAACACCGGTTATCGGTATTCTCAAGATCTCTTCAACAAACTGTCTATATCCATCATTTTATAATTAAAGTCTCTGTAATTTAGGTGCCGTTTGAGAGTACGGATAATCAAGGGATAGTGTACACGTGGGTGGGAAGAGCCGCAGACCCAGATGAAGCCAAGCTGGCTGAAGACATCATGAACACGATGTTTGATGACACTTACAGCAAGCAGGTAAAATGGAATGATCTGATGGACTTCATACTGCAGACCTCTTCATGGTGTTCAACTTTGTTAAATGCCTTGAGCTTTGTCCTGTTGAGCAATTTAAAAGCCCATCCTAGGGCATCATGGTTAGTTTTTTTTTGTCACCCTGGAGCAGGAGTGAGTCGTATGGACCTTTTGACTTCAATTCTAGGTGATCAATGAAGGGGAGGAGCCCGAGAACTTCTTCTGGGTTGGCATTGGTTCCCAGAAGCCCTACGATGAGGATGCAGACTACATGAAATATGCGAGACTCTTCAGGTGAGCTGTGGTGATTTCAAAGTTGCGTAACGTAAAAATGGCTGGCCGCACGCTTAAGAATGATTAATCCTTGATGGGAATATTTTCAAAATAGGTTTCTAATGCTTTTTCTGGTAGGTTGGTGAAAACCTTATACACATGGTTTATTACAACTGTTTTTCCAGGCATATTTAAAAATGGTGGAGCTAAATCCAAAAATCAATGTGTGCATGAATGAGTTCAGAATTCTGTGTATTCTTTTCAGCAAATCAACTATGTAGCATTGTTTTCTGGCACAGATGCTGCCATTAGGTTCTGTGTGTGTATAGCCTCAGAACTAATCTTTTAAGAAAGTATGTTATAATATTCTGAAGGCAGCACAGGAATTTGATTAACAAGCTGTTATGTTGAAGAAAACTAAATTGCATTGACCTGTGATGCGTGAAACCAGTAAAAGCATATTCGACTTTTTGTGGCAGCTATTGAGAATGGTGTCTTTGAAGATGAATTCAGTCTCGGTGTCCATGCTCTTGTTTTAGATGCTCCAATGAAAAGGGCTATTTCTCCGTGTCTGAGAAGTGCTCGGACTTCTGCCAAGATGACCTCGCTGATGATGACATCATGCTTCTGGACAACGGAAAAGAAGTGAGCATTTGAAAGGATTTTAGACTTGAACACCTGACAAAGCAAAGAGCACATTCCCTTTAAACACGGAACAGAATATTTATAAATCAGCCGTAGTTGATGCACTGTTGTAGGATCATTTGTCTACAGTACTTGTGCAGATACCATCAGTTTGAAGGTTAATTGACAATGAATTATGCTGCTTTGCATCTGGTTTGTGTGCATGTGCTCAGCTGAAACGAGCAGAAATGACAGAGGTGGGGCAAGAGGGAATCAGCAGTAACTGATCTGATTGTACTGCCTTTGCTTTTCAGGTCTACATGTGGGTGGGAACGCAGACCAGTCAGGTGGAAATTAAGCTGAGTCTGAAAGCTTGTCAGGTAAGAGCAACTCGGTTCGTGTGCCATCACATCGCTGAGAACCCAGCACTCTGATTTCTGATTTCTAATTTCTAATGGCTAATTAAGCAAACAAATTGAGAGGATACCTTCAAAGCAACCCTGTCTGTGTAAAAAGAAAAGTGAAAAGGCTTAGTGCATCTAAGTCTTATTTCTGTCTTGAAGGCATTACTCTGTTTTTCTTTAACACCAGTTTCTTTAACAAAAAAGGTGAAGCAGACATCCCAACTTTGAAAAATTGATTTCGGGGGGTCATACCTCCTGTGGAAACGTGTGGACTGGGGGGGGCGTCCCCCTTTAAAAAAAAAACCAACAACTATATAATTAAATAATTTGATGATATATATATATACTTTTTTGTACTTCTTTGCAAACCTTTGTTGTTCAGAGATGGGCCTTGCGTTGCAGATTTGAGCAGATTCTCGGATGGCTCAAGGTCATATTATATATAATTAACCGATTCACTGATGAGTTTCGGACCGGGGGTGTCAACAGAATAAATTGCGGGGGGTGGGGGTGATTTCCGAGAGATTATGGATCGCTTGAGGCAGTCAGGGAGGAGGTGCTGATTTCCGGGAGACTTGGGATTTCTGGTGATGCCAACAATTCATTTGCCAGTGACTGGTTTCAGGCACAGTTACTCTTTCTCTCCGGTAGGTTTACATCCAGCACATGAGGTCAAAAGACCCGGAGCACCCCCGGAAACTGCGGCTTGTGCGAAAAAGCAACGAACCTCACAACTTCACTCGCTGCTTTCACGCCTGGAGCTCCTTCAAGAAACCGCCTGCATAAGAATCCCGCCACGGCCACCCTGACTTCTGGTTGGTTGGCCAGGGTCATGTGACTTTGTGCTTCGTTCTTATTGGCTGTGAAGGAGCTCAGTTATTTGGGTGAAACACAATTAGAATACGGTATGTATTGGCTTGAGCTGCTACTTCATAGAGTGTACTGTAATCCAGCATTCAAGCTTCCCACAAGAGCTTTTGCATATTTTGCTGCCTGACTAAGCGATATATCGGACAGTTTTTTAAGATTCTGTTCAATAGATTTGCACTGAAGGCATAGTCTAATGAATAATGAACTTTGATGCTTACATATATGTAAGCATCAAAGTTGTTAAAGTAATAGTTTAATGTATAGAAACCAAGTCTGTACCTTAAGCTTACAAAACACTTCATTTTATCTAAGAAGTCACTATTAAAATGTATTTTAAATCGCATTTACCTAAGTATAAAAACTCCTTAGCTTTGCATAGATTTCAGGCAAGCCATAGGATTGTATATTGAAAAAGTATTTCTGACTTTGCTTTATTGGAACACCGAAGACTTTTAATCAAAGAAATGACTTTTATCTAATATGATTACTTGATAATAGTAATAATTCTCTCTAAATCGTATTTCACATGTCTTTCTAGACTATATAGGTATTGATGAGCATATGGTAATAGCATATGCTAATATTTCCCTTCACATATAAATGTACTTTACTTAACCAAAAAACTTAGTGAAAAGATTAGGAGGAAAAATCTGCATAGAGCAAGCACAATATCCATAGTATTCTCTAGTCTAAATCCTTAAAACAGCACATCATTGCCATTTGGTGCAGCTTTGTTATTTTGTAAAGGTAAAATTCTGTTTCCTGAGAAGTGCTTTATGAGTGTGTTTTGTTCAGTTATGAAATTAGTTGCACAGCTTAACAATTTTTTTGGTAATGGGTTAAAACTGTGCCAATCATGCTGGGCTCTCCCTTTGGGTTTTCAAGGAAAAAAAAAAAACCGGGAATTTAAAAGGTTTTTTAACGAATATGCTGGTAATTAAGAGACTTTATGTATTAGTTTAAATGTACTGTTTGCTCTGGAACTGCTCAGTAATTGAGAAATGGTAGGATGGGGTAGTGTTCCAAACGCACACAGATGACGATAAACTCAGGTCGACCACAGAAGAAAATAAAAATCAACAGCTATTGATGAAAGTCTGACGTAATTGAACGGACGATTATTTTTTTACAAGGGCTTGCACGTCACAATGAAATAAGGAATACTGTACATTTATTGTTCTATTTTGTCACAGTGACATTGTCAGGCAAATATATTTAGAGATGAGGTATTTTTAGAAAAAGCTTTTTAGGGGCTTGGTGCCAACATAAACAAGAATAGCTTTGCTCACGCGCGGAGATGTCGCAGGTGCCCTTCGATCACGCAGGCAGATACAATTACAGGAAGGCAAACGTTTTTTTTTTACTCTGGGCGATGGAAATCTTGCACTGCTACAGCTGTAGTGTTATCACGGATCAGCTCGGCTATTCTGAGTTTCTGATTAGATTTTCTTTGCTTGGGGTTTTTTATTGTTTCTTTGTGGTATTGTCTATAATCTGTCGTCTCACTTCCCTAGCCATATTCAATTACACTCGTTTTCCTATTGCCGAATCTCTGGAGCCTATTTTGCACTTGCCTCATATATTTCTGTGGAGACTGTATCACTATATCTGATTTATTGAGGACAGAAATGTCTGTATTTATGTATTTTGTATTAAAAATAAAATTGCACATCACCTTTCAGTGAGCTTTGCGCTTGATTTTGAACTCCTCCTGACCCTGCTTGATCACCACCTGCAATTTCAGTAAAAATATCTGCTCAAGAGCACAGGCTCCCAGCTCCAGTGGTTCAGGTTATGGAAGAAGGGTATTGCTGCCTGTTAAAATGTCTGGGAGAAGGCTGCAGTGAATCTGCTCAAGGGCTAACCAATCCATTTGATGCTCCTGCATAGCCTTAACACACGGGTGATTTATTTAAAATAAATTCTGGACATGAAAGACTGGATTGGGGTGGTATTACTGGTCTAGAGCACACAAATTAAGGTATTTAACAGAGAACAGGAGACCCTTGGTTAAACGATCATGTAGTTTATAGATAGGTGTTTTAGCAGTGTACAATAGCGCACAAATGTTAAAAGTGAGAAAACTGAGTCAATAACACATACACCTATGTATTGAAAATGGCCAGAGTTGTATTCTTGGGTCCCATATGTGTGGTGTTGTGCAGTCTGCTTACTAGCGTGGGAGACACTACAGTTATGGAAGATGTGACAGTAGTCTAATCTTGAAAAAAATAAAGGCAAAGGATGAATTAATCAAACACGTTACCCGCCAGCTGACTGAATTTTGGTTTTTACCCTAAATTTCAACAAGTTAGGAGGCATTTTTTTTTCTATCAATGTGCTGGGTGGATCAAATTGCCTCTTGTAATCTGTACAGTCTTTTAATTTTTAGTGGAGTTCCTTCCAATGGGATATAGGTCTGATCAGCTGTTAAGGGGTTTTGAATATGCTAGCCTAATATTAAATCAGTAGCAGACCACATCTTAGACTTCTTGAGTTCCACATACAAATTAGTCAGGTGGTACAACTTGGTCATGGGTGGGGTTGGGTGGACACACTTCCTCAAGAGGAACTGCAGACTCTTACTGGTATTATCAGTATGATGCACTGAGCAATAAAGATGGCATCAAACAGGTATAAACTTACTCAAATTAAGCAGTAATGAGGAGAGAGGAGCAGAACTAGATGATTGGCTTTGTTCATTCGCATAGAGCAATGCAATAGTTATCCAAAGTTTTAATAACTGTAGATACAGTGATGCTGTATAGTTTTTCTGGGTCCTGCACCTTAACCTATACTAAATATGGCAATTTGTTTTCTTGGGCTGGAATAGCTGGCATGTTTTCCCACTCAAAGCTTTGTTACTAGGATGTTATATACATTGTGGGTTTTCAAATTCAAATTTTAAAGTGCAGTTTGAAATACCTTTCAACAAACACCAGTACCACCACTACCAGTGTGTCGCACAGGGCAGTAATAAGACATCTGCCATTGTTCCCTGCAGCACCCAGAAATTTAACTTCTCTATGGTGTTTTCTTCTGATCGTCTCAGGCATCAAGGATAATCAGTCTGAATGATCTTTTTGGTGTATGCAGTTGTGTGATCTCATTATATCATGCATGTTAAGTGGCCATAGCTGTACAGATCTAACACTGGACAAGAACCCATTTTCTAGTTTTGGGGTTATTGGACCTACCCCCACATTGTAGTATTTTCACCTAAAGAGGAAACATTACAAAGTCTTTTTTTAGGGTTCTTGCCAATAGATCTCTTTCCATTAGGTGGCCATTTCTACACTGCATCACAAACGAAAAACATGAGCAAGTGTAGATATTGCTATTTACCATGTCTGGCACGCGCACGCACGCACGCACGCACGCACGCATGCACGCACACCAGGGCCAGTTTTCCTTGAAGCCAATTCACCTACCCATGTCTTCGAACTGTGGGAGAAAACCCACACAAACACAGGGAGAACTCTACTCGGATAGTATTCTAGGAACTGAACCTACAGTAGCAGCCCAGTGCTGCTAGACAGCTATGCTAACCATACTGCCACCCCACTGAACATTTTCAAAGTGAAATTGGACCAGTTACACTTTTAACTAAATAAATTGACCAGACTCTCCCAGAGGAAGAGCTCTTCAAAGGAAACCTAGAAAATGTGCTCGATTCTGGACCCCAAAGACCAGACTTTGGGAACCCCTGCCATAAATGTGATACATTTGTTTCATCCTTAGGAGTTAATGAGGATTATAAAAAGGGGGATACAAGCTCTACACCTTCTACAAGATAGAGACTTGAAGGAGTCACTGGTGTTAAAAGATGTTGCAGTACAACATTGCAATACACATGGTTCAGGATGTTGTGAAGTATATCTTATGCATGTACAATTCTACACCTGCAATATTTGTGCTCCATATTCACTTTATACAACTCAGTCCTGCTCCTGGAGAATTACAGTCACCCTTAAATCATTTTTTAAAGATCTCCAACATGAGTTTTTATAAATTTAGTAACTTAAAAAGTAGAGTTAACTCATTTTTGTTACATGGGGTCTCTGAACTACTTAAATGAACAAAACCCCTGCCTCAGTGGTCAAAAGTATATTGTTCAATAGATTGATTTAAGAGTGACCTATGAAATAGACTAACTAGTCTCTCCCCACCCTATTCCATTTACTTTGTAACAGCCATCAGAAAACTAGGCAAGGTTTTAAACTGTTCTTATAGTATTAAATAACCGCTTCATTTTCATAACCTTGAGCAACTTTGGTCTTCTCCAGAAATTAAAAAATTCCATAAATACACTTTTATTGTTAAGTAGGGAGCTGAATCAGCATGCGTAGGCTGCAAAGGATTATTCCATACTGAAAAGAGCAGAAAAGAAACGTTTTGGCTGTGGAGCCTTCTTCAGGAGTCAATGCTAATGGAGACTAATGCATTCTACCATTTTCTCCCTCAAACAACAGATAACACTTGGATTTTAGACGCAAAAGTAAATCTCAATTCCCAGCAGTGCATTTATAGTTTGACTGGTGTTAACAATGTAGGGGGAAAAAAAACAACCAATTTCAATATTAGGCAGTAAATGCTTTATTAACATTAAAACCAAATCTGTTCAATTACTAAATCAAAGTAAGTAACAGGTACATTCTACTGAAAGGAAAAACAAACAAACTGTAGTCTTATAACAAAAAAAATGAACAAAGTTTCACAGGATAGGTGCCACCTTAATATAAAATGCAAGAAGTCCATTTCTTCTAATTAAAGAAACATACACAAGTTATATAGATATAAAACCTGTACTTTGAAGGGGACTCCATCAGGGAAGGACTAAGTGGTTCTAAGAACAGAAAAAATTATATTTTTGATGGCACCTTCTAACCAAGACCAATCACACTCCCCTTTCCAGCTCGTTTCATTAAAGTGAACATTTGCTCCCTTGAGGTCTACCCATAGCACATATACAGTAAGAGTGATGGAAATATTTTTAGCCGTTAGCTTTTTAAAAATGTCATTTGAGCACCCTACATTAAAATGAATTTCTCAAGAAGGATTCATTTGCCATGGAGCACAAAGACTTGTAATGGAACGGATCCATCTGTGCTCTTTCTAGAATGTTCTACAGTTGGGTCAACTAGGTATGAGCTCCTCACCTCTTAAGTTTCCCCACTGTCGTGACCTTCACTAATCTTAACAGATCTAATAAAAGGATAAAAAAAACTCATGAATCTCAACAAAGCTAACAAGGAGGGCTTTACTTGAAAAAGACAGGTGTCTTGATGAAAATCTCAACAGCTCACGTACTCTGACTCCTTTTGGAACAAATGAGACCCCATTGACCATGTGTCCTTATTTTCTCACAGGTTTGCATCACCAGGCACAACACAGTGTAAAAAAAACAGTGATCTACACACCAGTACCTTTAAAACATTCTTTAAATACAAATCATAAATGATTAGTTTTTTTCCATAATGTGTTAATACTGCCAAAGAATTAAAAAAAGATACACATACATTTATATTAAAACTGAATATTGTCTTTTAAAGTGACTATAGCTCCACTAGTTGATTAAAGATGCACCAACTGTAAGTGTTCATTGACCATTCACTTAAAAAATAGGTTAAAAAACGTTACTCTTCCAAAAGGTTTGGTGTTCAGGTCATGCGCCTTGCTTTCGTTTGTTGGTTCACAGTTCACTGGCAGAAACAAATTCAACCATTCTTAGTGTGCTTTGATGACAAGGCAATGGGGTTGAATACAAGACAGCTAAATATGACTTTACACAAAAACTATGATTAGTGTACATAAAAGGTTTAGTAATGCAACCCTAGGGATAGGGAAAGGGCAAATGTTGGTCATTTATAAGACCTGGAATACTTATATCTGGTCCTTTTCATGAAAGTTTTTCAAAAGAAAACAAAGAACTGAACACCCCAATAGTCCATCGGTTGTTAAATGGCTCCATTCAAAACATCATTCAGCTGTCTAAAAACCCACAGGGTCCAAAAGAGACATTTTACAAAAACTGCAAAAGTTGCGCCAAAGGAAACTGAAGGAGAGGAAGCAGCTCAGTGAGAAATGACTAAACGCAAAGACAACATGAACTTTAGGAGTTGATCCTACAACCCCCCCCCCCCGGGTGACAAGTCTGTGGAGGACAGACAGGTACGTCGATAGCAACAGCCTTGTCAAACACCGGATCTTGCAGCGATAAAAACAAAAAAAGTTAGCTTCTTCCGCTGCCGCGACAGTCCATACCCTCTCGGGGTGCTGTGGTCCTTCAGTAGGTTTGGGGGTTACCGAGGCTCTGCGGACAGGAACTTTGGGGGGAGGGACTGGTAGAGCACAGCTTCCCAACACCCGTTTCTGAAGCAGAGCCGCCCAAACTACGACACGAGAAAGCCGTCCTTGGCAACAAGCTTACTTGCTCTCGCTACGACGAAGGCCGGAATCGTGTTTAGTGAGGAGGGAGCCCGTTAAGTGGAGACGAGTAGAGAGGAAAAGGGGCTGGAACGAGTTCCTGCCGTGGCCATTGTAGAAGAAAAATATGAACAGGAAACCGCAGGAAACTCACTGTCTTTTGGCACAGAAGAGGAGTTTCAGCCTCGACATCGGGTAACGAAACACTGTAGAAAGCAGGAGTTCTGGTCCAGCTTCAGAGGACTATTATTAGTTCATATTCAATCAAGTTCCCCACAGTTTCATCAGGTCATCTTCACTGCACTCTCACATTGCCAGCAGTCCCTTGTAAACAAAAGACAAGGCAGAAATGTCATTAAACACTTGTTTCCAGGAGGACTGCTTACTTGGAATTGCATTTTGGTCCATTATTCCATCGCCGTCTGGAAGCCCGAGTTTCATATTCCATCCCACGAAGCACTAGACAAGGCCAATGGCATTAGTGTGTCTGTTGGTATAATAAAATGCAGTGCAATTTCAAATCTAAATCACGAAGCAATAAAATAAGAATTGACCACTTAAACGTCATACCTCACGGCCGTGGAATTATTAGAACAGTTACAGTGGACATTCTTTAAAAGAAACGAGGGAAATCATCATTAGTATACATTTTTGTATGTTCTTTCAAACTATGAGGAACCGAAAAGACGTCGTGGTGCTCAGGCGAGAGACCGCGAGGGGGCGCCAAAACGTTCTTTGGTTACAAATGAAAACAGTGTGCTAGAATAAGATTAAAAAAGTTAACTAACCAGATTTAGACCCGTAGCTGTTAAATACACATAAACGAATTCCTTTCAAACAACATATATATCCTTTCGATGTGACACTTAACATTTATATACATATTAATTTCCTAAAACAGCAGCTTTCATACTTTGTCAGAGACTCAGAAATAAAGCCAAAGGCTTCCAGAAGCTTCCTCCAACAAGTACCAGCTGTTCCACACAATTCAAACACAAGACAAATGGGGACAGGAAACAAAAGAGGGGGCGAAAAAAACAAATGAAGGGCGAGGAGAGAGGAAGAGGAGTCCTCACAGACAGGGTCACACGCACACAACTTTTGGCGGAGCTGATAAAGGATAGGATAACCGCTGCGTTTCTAATCGCTTACAGCTTCAGTCCAGTTTAAAAAAAAAGATGGGCAAAACAACCCCCCCCCCAAAATGTAATGTGGCTGAATAGTTATCATTCAAATATTTCAACACATTAAAAAACTCAAGAATGAAGAACAAGTTTGCTTGCCCTTGCTCTCAGTGTGGAATTCAATTTTACGAGTTCCAAAAGCACACCTGCTGGTTAGGTGGTCATATTGGGAAGTTAAAACTGTGGTTTTAACTGTAACTGTAAAACTGTGGCCATCACCCACATATGAGCAGTTTTGTACTGTCCCTCCTGGGTGAAGGGGAAACTTCCTACCTGACAAAATTATTTAAGTTTTGACAGAAAAGAAAATGCTGAAAGCACAGGAATGTAGTTCCTTTTTACAAGCTTTCAGAGATGAAATAAACACGCCTCCGTGCCCAGACAGCTCTGAAAGATGGCACCTCTTTCCTAGGGAAAAACGGTGCTATTGTGAGCCCAGTGCTTGGGCAAGGAGGACATGAGCGAGCCAGCCAGTGTGAAACTCTTGTGCCTTGAAATCCCTGTGTTCTCTGCCAAAACCGGCTCGTCAAGTACCCCATTCATTAAAAATATCCACTCCAGTGGGCATCTTCCTGTGCTACGTGGATTCAGAACAACAACAACAAAAAAGTAGGGTTAATGCCCACATTCATGGAAGGTTTTTTTTCCCTTGAGAATCAGCAGTCTCCCAACCCTTCTGTGTTTCTCCACCAAGTAGAGCTTATTTTAGTGTGGATGACCCGTACTGATGCAACAAGCCAAACATTGGGATCAGCAAATATATATAACGGACTGCAGCTTTCATACAAGTGTGGTTTAGATTTCATAAATCCCAGGTTTTGCAACTTGGGACAAGGGTCTGACGAAGCACAATAAAGACATCCACAGTTTTTCCCAGGAAAACAATTACTGCTCTTGCATTTTTATTGGGATTCAGAACCAGTCCAGAGTTTATATCCAGAAGACAGTGACCTCTTAACTGGGCGCAGAACTAGAAAACTCCAACTGCACTCCACTCTCCCAAGACAAACTTAAAGCTGGCAGCTGTACAAGTGCTGGAATAGTAGAACTTTGGATGAAACGCTTAAAGCATGAGAAATAAAAGGAGAAGTTCAACTTTGACAACACAGGATCAGAGCTCAATGGGTATGGGCTCAGTATGTACAGAGATTGTACAAACACTTTAAAAACACACACTGTACTCTTAATGTGCCCAAATAGAAAAAGAGGGGGGTACAATTTTAACAATGTTTCCACTGTGGAGCCTTCTTCAGGCATGCTCCATAGCTTAAACGTTGTGTTTGTCTTCTCTCTTCAGTATGGAATAGACCTTTACTTGTTCCTTTGCAGCCTACGCATGCCGACTTCAAATTTTTAACAATGGTCTCCATTTTTTTTTAAAAAGCTTATATGTCCAAGTGTTGACGATATCAGACGTTTGAGTTTTAATATGAATTTAGAGGAAAATCATACTGGCAATCAAGAGAAACTGTTCTGAGGTTCAATACCATTAATCTGCCCAAGCCCATTTTTAGGGAGTGCCAGTTCAGCATCATAGTTGCTAAATGACAAAGACAGAGCTGGGAGAAGGAAATGGACACAACAGGATTAATGGGAAGAACATCTCAAGCAGCATTTAAGGAGGAGTCTTTCTCCAGATTATAAATGAAAGGGTGAGAAGGGGAGCACATGGGGCATTAACCCACACCCCAAAATGACATGAGAAAGCAAAAACTGTATACTCTGAGGTCAGTTTTAATTCTTATCGCGTAATCAAAGGGGCCGTTTTATTCAGGCAACTGCCCTCGCCCATACCTCAGTCAGTACTGCCTGGACCCAAGCCTACATAATCGGGGAAGAAGAACAGGGATCTGAGACGGATCAGGAGTGCTTTCAGAACCGGAGCACTCAGTGGGATCCTGCACTGTTATTCTATTTCTGCCAGGGCCACCGGGGAACAACCCCCCCGTCAGTCAGAGCAGCTATATCCAAGAGCGAGCTGACGGGAGGGTGCCGGCGAGCAACTGGGCTCGGAGCAGACAGCAGGGAGCAGTGCAAGAGCGGTGAAGCCGAGCGCTCACCTCACTTGATCAGGATCTCCGGGGACCGGGCATCGTCATCGGAAATATTCTTCAAGTTCTTTTCCGCTTCCTCTGCCGACCTTTGCAAGAGAAAGAGCCACCGACGTCACACGGGGATCTGCGCTTCATAGTTCAGTGACATTTCCAGAGGCCGTCCTGTTCTTTTAATGCGAGGTTTGGATTTCTCTGCCAACACCGAATGAAGGCTGTGTCACACTGACACCCGGAGCCTCTCAATTTCACTGCTCTGACTCCAAAAGCAGTTTCTGTTCTATCCCCCAGTTTACACTTGGGCATGATTCACTAGTGCCTAGTGTCAAACTTAAATCATTAAAGTACAAATAGGATCATTAAGCAAGGTGGTGGGGAATCTGGGGTTTTAAACTAGTAAAAAAATGTCCCTCCTTATCAAAAGTCTGTTGAAGACTTTCCCAAGACTTCAGCTACACAAACGTATAACTTTTTTTTGGAAGGTGTATTCAAGGCCACCCATAAATTTAAATGCCCTGCGTATTACGGCATTCAAGAGCATTTTGAATTTAGTCTTCGCTCCTGCTCTTTATAATCTTACCAGACAAGAGATTTTAACGTCTGATGTTATGGATGCATTGCTAAATCCACTTACTGAGATGAATACATCTTTCTCTAAGCTGCTGCATGTCAAACTCCAGCAGTAGTGCTGTGCCAGTGATGAGCACAACAGCAATTAAGGTTTTGCTGGAAATGTCAGGTCCCGTATTCTGAAGTGACATCACAAATGTTTAAAATAGTGCTTGAGACAAGTGAATTTTAAAAAGTGTGTGAACAGAACAGGGATGATTTTTCTAGGCAGCCATTACTGTATATGCTGTAAATCATGCAGTACACCAAAAGAAAACATCACTATAATAATTAAGGAAGAGCACTGTTTGCTTATGGGGTCACTTTCATGGTAATGTTATTAGAGTCTCCAAAATATACTCTCAGTTTCCAGTTTCAAAGTTACTAAGGCATGCGGTTTTGAATTTATGTAGCTGTTTTTGAAGGGTTCAGAAGTGAGATCCCTTTTTTCTGAAACACAGTATGAAGCATTTTGGCTATGTACATTAGAATAATTTCTGAGCTGTTACTAGAATTTAAAGCTAGCAAACTGAGTACATACAGTACACACATTTCCAAATGACATTCAGCACCATGAGAATCTTATCCACACATGAAAAATTCACAATGCTGGATTGCCACTGAAATACCCCCTCCAAAAACCAAATTATAATATTGCAATCAAAGTTTAACTAGCGACAAGATTAAATCATAATTACTTCACACAAGCAGCTTTTTATAATCTTTTAATGAAGATGGCAGACTTCATTAACTGTTGGGGAGTGAAGCATTCTCCCACCCAATGCAAAAATACTGAGCTAACACTGTCCCCAACACAGGAAGGCTCCAAGATGCTAATTCAAATGATCTTTTATTCTATGCTTCCCACTTCACTGACCTAGATTTTAGCTTTAATGAAGACCACAGGCTTTCTTTTGATGCGGAAAGTATCTGGCAAGCCCCCTGGATCCGAAAAGGAACAGAGAGGGAACTCGAAGTGCCTAAAGCAGTAATCTGGAGGCCCTAGTTGAACCCCAGCACACACTAATGCAAACTCTTCTCCATCTAGTTACCGTTTCAACAACTGCGAACGCAGAGCAACAGCATCTCTTTAAAAGAAATACCCTGAGTCATGCCACACTTCCCTGCCTCATCAGTCACTGCCACAATGAACACACAAATTAATTCATGCTCCATTTGGCCCCAGTACCGCTGCACTATCTGCAGTACTGCAGTTATTTATGTAGCGAAATTCATAGTGTCATTATTTTTTTCTTTACCTCCCAAAAACTATTTTCTTAATCAGTGCAGACAATAAGTTTGGACAGCATGCTTTTTCCCCCCGTGTCAAGAGATTTTATAAAACCAGCGTCATTCGTGCCCATGTGGATATTCCAATTGCAATCATTTTGGCATTAAAGTGAATGTTATCGTTTCACAGCCTATTAATTTCACAACATCAAAAGCTTGTCACATCTGGGGACAAACTAAATTTATTAAGGTGAACAGACAATCGTGCGTGTGCTTTGTGCAAAGGAGGATATTGCTTTGAAGCTCAGGCTGTGAAATGTGCACACACCTCATTTATCATACAGCGCCGGTCCCTGACAGTGCTGACCCACTCTACCCTGTGCTGGTCCTGTTGCATCTTATCTCTCGGATGCCCAGGCAGGATTTATACACTATCTGCTCTGGGAACCAGCCAGACAGGGGAGTCACAGGAGGCCAAAGACAGAAATATATCTGTAACTTGTCCATACATAACAGCCCTTTGAGGATATCCAACTACAGACTATTTTCTGTTAGCCTATATATATATACACACACACATTTTACTCCAAATGTATGTCTCTAAATACAGAGCATCATAAGGAACACCTTATAATTTATGCTTGTATGTTTTTAGAAAAAGAAAGCATACAGATATATATAAACGGTTTTGGTGTCATTTTGATTTGCTCATTAATAAAGATTGAAAGTGTTGCGATTTTGACTTATTTCAGCATTAAATTGCTATTGAGAGCCAATTGGGCACAGATAAGGTTATTTAATTTGTTGAATGTTAAAGTTGGTGAAAATCAAGGAAAACAGAAAAGAACCATCTGTCTCCCATAGCCTTTAACCCCATTAATTACTAATTACCAAATGGGTTGGATGGACTGAATGGCCTCTTTGCTTGTAGTATAAAAACGTACCTTTGGGCAGAGTCTAGAAACCAGTCCAGTCTCAAACATGCTTTATTAGACACGGGCAGGAATCTCCCACCCTTGCTAGGCATTTCAGTCAGACAATCCTTCAGCAGCAGGCCAGACAGATGCGATGCGTTACGAAGATTGAGGGAGAGGACCAAGCACTTGCGACAGAAAGAACTGTCATTTTCCAGGTAACTTTGTGAAACCATTGCAGTTACAAGCGATAGGTGGTTTTTCAGATGCTTAGTGTCTCAGAATTCCAATTAATTTCTGCTCAGTTGCATTGTCTCTGCTACTAAAAGGCTAGATGATCTCGTTTGGGTCTTATCTAGAGAATGGTCTCTCCTACAACAGGCTAATAGGTAGCTGGCATCACAACAGATCGTACTCAGCAGTAACTGAGGTACACCACCTCAGAGACATCTGAACGACTGCCACCTTCTCCAGCCATTAAAACAGTAAGAGTATTCCTTGCACTGTTATAGAGAAAAGGAGGTAAGGAGTGTTAACTGCTTAAGGGACCGCCATTGTAAAAATAAGCACACCTTCTGAAAGTTTTGTTTTGAAAACGATAAGACTTAGAAGGCCTTACACTAGGAAGTCTTTGACGTCCTCCACTGTGATGTCTCCGGTGGTGTCGAGTGTGATGTCGGCGCTGCTGTTGGGCGAGTCCAGGGCCGGCGAGGACAGAGCTGCCTGGATCTCTTCTAGAACTCCTGAGAACAGAGAGAAGGAGCAGGAGTGGACACGCAGATGGACAGGGAGGCCCTGTGGAAAGCAGGCTACACAGCACGGCACTAGCAACCACTTATGAGGGGCTAAAGGTAAAAGAGATTGACCTTCTGAAGTACTGTAGAACATACCCACATTTACACTCCTCCACAGTACTGTTCTCTCCTTCAAAACAAACTACAGAATTCATCCACCATTCCACCGAGTCTGGTTTTCATTTAGACACAATTATAAGGAAAACAATGTGGAAATTAGTGCCAATTTCAGTAGGCCAAACTCCGCTTGGCTTTAACCCATCCATGGTGTTCAACAAAAAACTTACGATATACTACATAAAAATAAAAGGAGGTTGCTAACAACAATAGAAACGTTCACAGGATGACTCAAGACAGGGTATCACAGTTGAGCCCAGCTGAGGAGATAATCGATCACGATCACAGTCCCGAGCTCTATCAGAACTGAAAGGTCACATTGTGGGGCAGTATGGGAACCAGCATGTTCACTGCACAAGACTTCCTAAAAGTACGCTGGAATTATAGAATTCCCACTTCAATCTTCACATGCACAGGCTATAACCTTTCAGCTTCTAAAGTATAATTTACCAGACATCTCGTTGTTCCTGCACAGTTCCCAAAGGCAGGGATACTAGATGCACTAATTTAAGGAGATCCATTTTTATGGACACAGTCACAGTATTTTGAGAAGTGACTGACTTCCAATAAAGTAACATGCAAAAATGGAAAACAGATTGGCCCGCAAAATGGTTAAATTTACTTTCAAATTGGAATTCATTTTAATCTAACACCTAACCTGTCAATGCACATAGTCTTCTTTCTTACTATAACGTTTAAATCCTTTTGGAATTCTAAACATGCATCTCTATGGGTAGCCTAGGGCGACAGGTGATTTTGCTTTCACTAAGGATGCAAATCAATTATTCCTGAGCTGCCTTGTTTTTAAATTAGATTGCAAACAAAATCTTAACAGGATTCACTGCAGACATGTTAATTGTGGATTAATTCTGTTCTTTTAAACAATTACATTTAACCGTGAAAGAAAATTAGCGTGAGCTCTTCATCAACCAATCGTATGTTTTTGGAGGAGCTAACTGATCCAAGTAGGGTGTTTCAAAACCAGAAGTACATGGGTATCTGGTATGCAAAATTATATAGTAGCTGAATTACATTTACTTCACGCAGCTATGAATCTGATATCTTAATGAACAGGCACTTCTGATACATGAAATTCACAACACTAAGCACGGCTAGACGCCACACCTTGATTTGGAAGCAGTGTGTGTGGATGGAGTAGGGAGGGAGATGTGTGAAACTCTATACTTGACCGAACACTCCTGCCTGCTCTCGGGATGCACTGTAATTGAACATCTTGAGGACGATGCGGTCATTCAACAGGAGGAAGTGAACGAATTCGGGTATCACAACAAACATGAATCAGATTCTCATGAATCGGCACGACATCCAGACCCACATTGCTGCTCTCTAGGATCTTAGTGCTGTTACTCGCCTTGGGTTTCTGCTAATAATTCAAATCCACTTCTGGCATCCCCCACTGCTTAAGGAACTTCCACTTCACCACAATACACCAAGATGGCAGCAAGGTGTAGGGAAAATAAGAATGTCCTTAGATTTGTACTTCTGCCTTGTTCTTGATCAGGGATGCTCTTCAACTAGACGTTTCCAAGCAAAACAAGGATCCAAAACAAAATCCCAATGAATCCCAAATGTAGTCTTAAAATTGCCCGAGTTAACACTGCCAGAACCAGACTGCAATCCAAAAACGAGATACCAAACGAATAGTTGTGGAGGTGGGGTGTCTTTAACCTGAATTCTACATACAGTATACAGTGTAGAGGTTTACATTTCAGAAGAACGGGGTTAACACTCTACCCTAAAAAAAAAACAGTGGGATAAAGAATGTTCTTCACACCTGTTGGGTCTTTATATAGTTCTTTTCAGAGGCTTGAGAAGCACAAGTTTTTAGTTTACTGCGCTGTGCGTTTGGGTAGCAGGAATGTTAACAGCCATACATAGAGTCTGAAGCCCAAGAGAGCAGACAATGTCGTCAAGAGGTGCCAATGGCCTCCAAAACAAGAACATGATTTGAGACACGGCTGCTGAGATGGAGTGGTGACTCAGTGGCTTTTGGGCCGTGAATACATACTAGAGTCTGTCAGCAGGGCGTTTTCCATTACCCTCCTCCTCGCCCTTCCGCCTGGAACAAAAAAGTTTAGATATACAGCCCCAACTGCTTCGGCCAAGTCTGTCCAGCTCCTTTTGCCCCCCGCCAAGTGCAACTGTCCCCTTTCCAGTAGACTCATAAATAGTTAAACACTGAACAGAGCTCTGCTGCCTCACTCACACACACAGATGATATGCAATCCATGGAAGTCAAGTTTCAGTACGTTCACAAGATATGTAGTCCCTAATGGGCTTGATAAATCAGGAAAAGCAGGTTTAACAGGTGGTATAACTGGAATGGAGGTAGCAGGAGAAAGGTCTCCAAGGAGTTATACTCACAACTCACATCCCCTCTGTTTTGTAGTTTCAGAAGGACCAACCATGACAGTTACAGGGTTTTCCCCCCTTTAACCTTTATGGTTGGTCCCTTTGCAACGCTTTGCACGGAATAATCCCTTCCAGGTCATCACCTTGGGAACCAGAAAAGTGTGAAAGCGAAGCACAAGTTTATTTAAAAGATTGATGGCTTTTATAAAATGGCAGTGATCAGAGAACTATTTCACCAGTACTGCTTAGAGGTTATAGTACAGCTGGAAGCACAGTAGGCACAGCAGAAAATCAAATAGACTGGATTGTGCTTTGCAAAAGCAAAGTCATAACTGGAGGCACCTTAATTTTCACATACAGCATACATTAAAGCGTTTGTTAAAGAATTAATGAATTTCCCAAAAGTCTAATTTCTCTCTCATGAATGTTTCATATTGGGTTTAATCTGGGGGACTGAGGGGATGGGTGAATTACTGAAGGGAGTCACTATGGTTACTGCAGAGTCATCAGTGTGATTTATCGGTCCTGATTAAATGCCACTCCAAGAGGGAATGTGAGCTGATTAAATCCAAGGAAGGAGACAAAAAAACAAAAATCAATAGGAGTAAGGTCCAGCCCCAGAGACTGAGGCCTTAAACATGTCAAAGAACAAATCACTCCAGTGCCACTCTGCTACTGCAGAACATACAGTGAGAGTGAAATAACACTGGAAGACCTCAAGAATCACTCCAATGGATTGTGAAGATTGCTTCAATTATTAAGCAGAGAGGATGAGAAAGAGCCCTATTAGAGCCAAGAGCCTGTTTTCATGTGGGACTTTTTGAAGCCAGTATAATACAGTTGCTTATTTCACCAATACAAACCTCAGTCAAGTATGAAACACCCTCTTAAGATCTGGGAGCAGGTGATGAGATACTGTTTTTTCCATCATAAGATGCATCTCTAACAAAGGGAGCCTAAGTTTTTATAATGGAAATCCCTTCTAACTGAATCCTTACTCATTTTATACCTGGAATAAACCAAAAAAGAGGTTTATCCTATTATTAAATTAGGTAACTCTGGTCCTTCTTTCAAGGGAAAGGAAAAGGAACATTTAAGCACTTATTCAGTGGATAGAGGGCACATGCTAACCAAGCATTACCTTGAGTAATGAATTGTGTATTACTGCTCACCATTCAAAAATGGACACTATATTATATTTCTGCTGTGCATTGAAACTTAATAAAGGACTGATCTGACTAGAATGAAAAGAACACTTTCTAAACTGAACTGCTCCTGACATCCTTACAAAACAGCGCAGCATCCAAAAACAAAATCTGACTTCCAAGACACTAAAATAGTTCGCCATCTATACAGCTCCAGCAGGATCATTTTTAAGAATACATGTGAGTGAAAAGCACAGCCAGCTTGCCTGGTATTCAGCTCAAAGTACAGGGAACTCCTGCGCAGGCTGCAAGAGACATTAACACAAGTGACCTGCAGAATGAGATCCTACCTTCTGCTTCACCCAGGGAATGGCTGTCACTTGCAGTCTGTAATTTATGAGTCCCATTGGCCTGAAGCGACCCCGTCGTGCTGTTCCTTCAATTAATGAAAAAGAAAATTCGTTTTTTACTTGTCTGGCCAGTTTTCATGCACAGCTCAGCAGGACATACTATATGATGAGACACTTTCAGTTTGGCAGCTTCAACAACTCTTTTGTGGACAAGATGCATATGTTTCATGTTGGTTTTTGATGTTTTTGCTTCCATGTTTACACAACGCAGTCCAGAAAGCATTCGGCTTGCTTCTCTGGCAAACGCAGAGTAAGCACAGTATTAACTGCCTTCTGAAGCACAATGTGAGGAGTGTCAAAGAGACTGACTTTTATTTTGATAATGCACAGATTGAGAGGTCAGAAAGCTACAAGCCTGTAGGCTCATTCCACATGTTAGGCTTTCAGCTTCTTCAGTAATATGGATCTCGCTCGCATACCATTTAGCTTGCACAGGCACCGAGGCACTGATACTGGCCCAGACAATGAGTGCAGGTGGAATTAAAGTATACTGGAGTCTGTGAAAGGGAGGGCACCTGTAAATTAGTGTTGAAGCTGGCACTGTGCAAATGTGTTAAGGGGGAGGGGAATAAGCCTTTGTGTTTCTTAAATTTAGAAAAAGAATTCTAAAATTTCATAGACATGCACTACTTAGAAGTGCAGTTGTCCCTCTAACTTATGGGACTTAAGAAGTAGCCATTTCTCCAGCACACAGGCTGACACCAGCTACAACCCTGGGCTTGGAGAAATACAGTGGGTTCTGATTTCTGCTGTAGCTGAGCTCTGGAGGACCTAACTGGATCAGTCAATGGATCTCTGGTCATTGAACATGTGAAGCTGCCAATACAAAAACCTGCAGGATCGTTGCCCTCCAGAATCAGGGCCATGCTTGTTCTAGCATTATGAAAAACACAATTCCCACCCCCAGCTTCATTGCCACAGCATTGTTCTCCTCTTTTCTCCCTCCACTATGGAAAGTTTCAATATTTGAAATTCTCTCCAGGTCCAGGGGAGCCTCATGGTGTAAGCAGAGGCAGTAGGACCCTTTACAAATAGCAGCTCAATACCATATTGATTTCCCCTGCAGGGTTGCTCAGTAAACTGTATGGAATGTGCTTGCGGAGTGCACACAGAATGCACAATCTTCCACTGCACAACAGTATAAATCGTTGATATACTGTACTCACTTGAGTCTTACAGAAATGAGTTGTTTTTACAATGCAGACCAATAACAGTCATTTAATTCAAAGTAATGCAAAAGTGACTTTAAGGACAAAGAAGAGTTACTCTTTCTAATGGCATTTTAATGGCAAAACATTCTTCGGGTCCCAATACTATCCCCCATTAAGACGAGCACAGAAAGATTTCAATTTTGGGTCCAAGGGTAAAAACAATTTTGAATTTTGAAAATAAGACTGTATCCCACTGAGCTTCTCAACTCATTTAACTCATGAGGTTTCTGCTGGAGTTAAATATGTCATTAGTGAACATTTAAATCAAACTCTAAGAGGTCTCGATTTAAATGAATGTGACAGGGAAGTATATCAATAGAAAACGCTGCCAGACTAGCTGCAAATATTGTTCAGGAACAACTGACCGACTGCCCAAATTACCGAAGCTTAACATGAAAGTTACACTGACAAAATACCTGAAAAATTCTTGAGCTTTGTTCCTCAGAAGTTAAAAACTTTTAAAATGCACAATATCCAACTATGTTAATAAGGTTTGAAGGTAAAAAAAAAATCAAATGTTTTATTCTACCTACTAAGAATATGCCGAGGAGGGGAGAAAAAAAATACAGAGCCCAAGTGATAAAGTTCAGTCAGTGCCTCTTAACATCATTAGCAGCAGATCTGAAAGTTTAAAACTGCTATAGGTATTGCAATCGTTTAATTTAGTGCAGTAAAGCAAAACCACAACATTTTCTCTGCCTCTCCGAGTTACTCTGCAAGCAGAAGTTTATTTCGTCAGGCTTCCACCACCTGCAGTCTAATTACCCTACACACATTAAACCTTCAGAGATTTCTGAAGCTCAATGGAAGGATTTATTAAATGTTTGGACTTGGTGTTAAAGACTCCTGGACACCATGCCTGGCTCTTACAATGTAGGACCATGAGCCAGCCAGAAACAACGTCGACCCTGCTGCCAAGTTCTGCGGAGTAAATTCCGAATCGAAACAAAGACCTGAAGCAACAGACTGGCTAATGCCAAGGCTGTCCGGCTCGGTTACCGGAACAGCGCTTTATTCTGTCCAGTTACCCGAGAGGAGGGGAGCTGTGTGGCCTGTCCAGCTCCACGCTGCACACGGGCTCGGTGATGACGCGTGCCGACAGGGAGAAGCGCTCAAACTCGGAGGGCGAGATCAAGTAGAAACCTTAAGAACCGCAGAGGGAGAAAGAGAGAAAAAATTAGAACACGAAAGAAAGACACCGTATTTTCCAGAAGTAACGGTCACATTCGGCACAAAGGATCCAGATGAGCTTCAAGCACAGCAAAAGAGCGGTTTGATGGCAGTTGGGTTGATTCTGACTGAAATAGTGCATGAAGGACCCAAATTTTATAGAAGTAAGAAGGGATAAATAGTGTTAAGTGGTAGAACATCTACGTGAGTGTAAAAGTAGAGACGACAGACTTGATGCGACTAATGTTAGGTTTGACAGTTTCCCCCACAGCCAAAATAAGTCATCATCATCATCATCATCATCATCATTAGTGGTTATAAATTATACATGCTTTCCTATATTATGACAAATATTTCAAAATGACAGGTGGGTAGCTGCGTCAGCATGCGTAGGCTGCAAAGGAACAAGTAATAGGTTTATTCCATGCTGAAAAAAAGAAGAAAGAACACAACGTTTCGGCCGTGGAGCCTTCTTCAGGTGTCACACCTGAAGAAGGCTCCACGGCCGAAACGTTGTGTTCTCTTTCTTCTTTTTTTCAGCATGGAATAAACCTATTACTTGTTCCTTTTCAAAATGACAGCCTGACAAACCGAGATTTGTTTTCACGTTTGACACAGGCAGGATAGAAAACGTCACAAGCCCGAACAACCCGTCTCGTCTCGCAGGGCCCCGCATCCAGGAGCAGGGCGGTGCCGACCGGCGCGCTCACCCTGGCCCATCTTGGTGAAGACGCAGGACGCGATGCCGCTGATGTCCTCCTTGCGGATGCAGTCGTAGCGGACTTGCGGCCGCAGCGCCGGGACGCTGAACACGTGGATGTCGCCCAGGTTCGTGAGGCACGCCAGGCCGTTCTCCGAGTACTCGTCCGACGCCACGCTGCCGAAGCTGGCCAGCGCCACCTTCCGCACCCGGCAGCCTTCGTGGGCAGTCAGCTTGAACTTGGTCTTGGCACTGACTTTGGGCAGCGTGAACACCTGCAGGGCCGAGACAGTGACCACGCTTCCTTTAAACCCCCGCCTGCCTTCAACGGGTCTTCATACACGTCTGAATTGTTTCCATTCAAACACACTACATGTTTACTTGTACATCGTCTACTGTTTGTTTGTATATTGTCTTGATGCGCTGTTTGCACTTTGTGTTTTTTACACTTGTTTTACAAATCGAGAGACTTTCCGCAAGTAAGAATTCCCTTGTACCAGTACATGTACCGGTTACATATGGCAATAAAGTTCAAGTTCAAGTTCAGTGGAGCCTCCAGTCCAAACAGGAGGACCTTCAATCCTTCAAGTATTCAAACGGGACACGTACCATTAAAAAAGGGAGAAGAGGGCACAATTTCAGCCCATCTGATTTTTTTTTTTTAAGAACTTCACATTATCTTTTACATTGAAAATGTCAAACTATACAAATTATGAAGATTAGGTAAAAATGTACATCAATACCACACATTTTGACGTCTGACTAACTAGCAAGCCATAAGCACAAAACCCAGTTCACTGACAAATTACCTTATTATTTATAATAAGGTATAAGAATCCTACCCAGAACAGACCAGTTGAACTCTTTTTATTGTAATATTAAATGGGTTTTCAAGCGCTCTTTCAAAATGATTCTTACTCCCTCCCTCGTGCAGTATGGTCTTTTTTGCTCATCTAAATTATAAGTGGAGAAACACCCCAATAAATAAGGAAATAAAGAAAACTGCATACCAAGGAAATCAATGGCACTGTATGGGGATTGAGGCTGGGTTGCTGAAAGTGAAGTGGTGGAATTCAATAGGTTTTGGGGATCCCAGCCCCACACTGTGGGGAAATCCGAGTCAGCGATGTTGTGAAGGGAAGTATAAACAGGGGGTACACACTAAACTGAGGAAGGAGTGCGAGACGGGGGGTCAAGCCTGTGCAGTCACCTTGAACTGCTCCTCGGAGGCGATGAGGACGGAGTGACTGCCCTGCATGTCGGGGGCCTTGGCCAGGTCCCGCGACACCTCGTAGGGCTCGGGCAGGGGGTTCCCCTGGCCGTCCAGCACCGCGATGGAAACCACGGGCGCCCGGTGCATCAGCTGGATCTCCTTGCCCAGCACGGCCTCCACGCTCTGCTCCGAGAACCGGTCCTGGGAGGGCACCTCCAGCGCGTAGGCGTACACCGAGCCCGAATTGGTGCCGGCCCACATCGTCGGCCCATGGTGCGTGCCTTTCGGGGACAGACGGGACAAGGCGTTGTTTAAAAAAAAAACACACACAATGATTAGTAAACAATTTACTGGGACCTCCTCAGATACACACTTGTTCCAAGTGAATTTGTATATGAGGAGCTCATGAACGCTTTCTCCTCAATTAAAGCCTTGTGGATTATCCTACCACAGAACATGTGGTCCTCCACTACTTAACTAAAGCCAGAACTAGTTTGTAAAAACTCCCAAGCTGAATACTTACACGGAAAGTTTGTCTGTGTTTTAATTCCGTTGCCTACAGACCCTGAAGATGAGTAGGGTGTTTTCCAGAACATACGTCCTGAAAAGACCTAATTTCTCCTCAACGAAAGTTAGACCCCATTGATGTCCAAGCACCACAGCTCCTGCATTCAGAATAGTGTGCTGTATAGCGTGTGCTCTGTTATCCTGCTGAATTGGACAATATGCGGAGTTTGTTGGCAGCTCAAGGCTACACAGCTGTTCCAAGTAATACTACATCGACAGGAGACCATAGAGCCTGCCCAAAATGCTGGCTGTTTATTTAAAAAGAATTACTCACCAAGGCCTGAACCCTCCCACACAACCCGCTACAGCAACGACAAAGAAAATTCAATCTTAAAAAAAATTAAGTCAAACTACTACACTGGTTAACATACGTTTTTAGACAAAGTTTTCACTGCTGCTCACTTAAGGAGCAACGTTAAGTACCTGAAAATAAAAAGATGGGTTCTCATGCATGGCTTACATTAATGTTAATTTTATGTTAAATCAGAACAAGATTCCTATGGAGATATTGCTGTACTAGAAACGTATGTGTGCACCAAGCAACAAGCACACATTCCAGTAAAAAAAAAACATTTCATAGAAATGTATTACTACCATCTATAAACAACATAATATTGCTGCAATATGTGCGGTTTTTATTGGTCATAAATTAACAAGAATACCAGGCTGAGACTAAGGAATAAAACAAAGCAAATTATATAATCAAATGCCACAGTGCACTGTATCAAAGCTGTTATCCAGCTTTTTCTGTCTTTTTAACAATGTTAAAATGTGGCTCACTTAATTCCTGCCAGTTCTGCATTCTAAAGCTACTTAAATATACAGTAAATAACCAACATCCGGCACACGTTATTGCATAAATGGCAAGCATCTACACCGTAAATGTAACATTAAAGAGAAAAAGGGCTAACACCTGAAAAGCAATAATTAAATGAGGAGTCTATCTTTATACAACTAAGTAGAGATCTCAGGAAACTCACCAATTACCTCAAGCAGCTTGCTAAGGACTCGAGTATTTGTAAAAGAGAAACTAAAATTAGATTTTGCCATGCTTGCTCTGGCTATTGTTTCATTGTGCTGTGTGACAAAGGAGAAGAATGAACACACCAGATACCCTCCTACCATGCAGCAGTAAGAGGAAACTAGATTGCCAACTACAGTATTTGGATGGATCTTGCAACATGGAAGCGTTCAGGAGGCGTGACATCCTGGCGGCCAGCCCAGGCAGTCTTACCATCTCTCAGGTACGTGTCAGCAAAGCACAGGCAGCGCACAACCCCCGAGAGAGAGTCGTCGGCGGAGCGCGGCTCTATTCGTCTCTGGACCGGCGCCACCTCCACATCATGCGGCCCAGCTTGCTCTGCTAGCTGGGCATTGGCTTCCTGGACCTGAGAGACAGTCTTACGATCAGACTGGGGAGGGGGTGCTGCCGCATTCAGGGGTCTTGGGAGTCTAGAACAAGGCTTCCTGCATGAGGATGTTAACCTCTTAACATCATAATCAAGAGTGTTGCATCAATTGTCGAGGCATGTGTCATAAGTACAGCATCTCATACTTATTCTATACTTGCAGTTTACATTGTATAGCCAGCAGCCATATCACCCTGCAACTCACAACTGGCAGCCCCACTGGAGCTCAGCAGGTGGGAGCCTGGTCCGTATCTGGATGGGAGACCACCTGGGAAAAACTAAGGTTGCTGCTGGAAGAGGTGTTAGTGGGGCCAGCAGGGGGCGCTCACCCTGCGGCCTTGTCCCAATATAGTGACGGGGACACTATACCGTAAAAAAGCGCCGTCCGTCGGATGAGACGTAAAACCGAGGTCCCAACGCTCTGTGGTCATTAAAAATCCCAGGGCGTTTCTCAAAAAGAGTAGGGGTGTTTCCCCGGTGTTCTGGCCAGATTTCCCATTGGCCTTTACCAATTATGGCCTCCTAATAATCCCCATCTCTGAACTGGCTTCATCACTCTGTTCTCCTCCCCACTGATAGTGTGTGTGGGGTGAGCATACTGGCGCACTATGGCTGCCGTCGCATCATCCAGGTGGAGGCTGCACACTGGTGGTGGTGGAGGGGAGTCCCCATTACCTGTAAAGTGCTTTGAGTGGAGTGTCCAGAAAAGTGCTACATAAGTGTAAGGAATTATTATTATACTCTTCATTTAAGGGTGTTAAAAATCCTGCCAAGCTAAAGAAGCACATAAGACGTCTCAATCTAGGGAATATCAACTGTAAATGGACCAATCAGATGAACAGAGGTTCCTGTACAGAACGAGACTGCTGGCTCCTCCTGGGGTGTGCAGCTCCAGCCTCCTCACCTTGCTGGTCGGGCTGTTAATGGCCACGCGCTTCTTCCCCGACACGCGGCTCTTGCGGATTCGCCTGAAGGACTGGCGCAGGGATTTCTTCAGGGACTTCACCCGGGACAGGGGTCCCTCCATCACCAGGGAGTCGTTGGGATGCAACGTACACCTGCAGCAAGGCAGCAGGGCTTAGATCACACCCACGATGCTTCTGGGGTGGTATATTCATTTTACAGAACCCCACGGTTTAGACACCATATTTCTGGATCTCATGCCCAGTTCCTGACCATTAAAATAAGTCCAATTCATCATCAGTTGAAAATAGTAACTTAGCCAAAGACTTCATCACAAACCTCTCACACTGACCTAAGCAAAGATAACAGTACATTTCAGCTTGAGAGGAAATTTAACCTCTTTACTAGGCACAAGGATTACTGATCAGCTGTTTCCATTACTTTTGTGAGAAACCAAATCAGTTGTGCATGGGGGTACATCCGGTAAGCAAAATATATATATATATTCCAACATGCACATACTGTAATTGGCCAAGACATAACCAATCAGCATGTACAGGCAGGCACAGAGCAGTATACCCAATACCCACTGGTTACCTGGCCAGTACGGGGCTGCGGCGCTGGTAGTCAAAGAGCCCAAAGCCGTGGCTGGTCCCAAAGGCGATGAGGTTCCACTCCGCGTGCAGCGTTACGGCGGTGACGGCGGCCGGAGGCATGCACTGCACCAGGACGAGGGGCTGGAAGCCAGGGGGGAAGCTGATTGGCCCGTTCTTGGGGGCGAGCCGGTCGTGACCTTTCCAGGTGAAGCCCTCGCGGTCCTGGAGCAGGTCCACCGCGGCGCTGTTGATCCCGTGATCAGACTTGTCTTCATTCAGCTCCATCACCAGCACCTGAGAGGAGGGATATTCACTATAACAGTGCCTCATCTCACTGCTCAATAAACATCCGTTTCCTGCTTCTACAGCTAATCTGGTTGTATGCTTTAAAAGGCACCATAAATAGTGGAAATTCTGCCCAGCATGTTTGAAATGTTCACTTTTACAGCTTAGGCAAATATAATTCACTGCAGAATAAAATTGCGTTTGTTAGGCATCAACAAGGATAATACAAAGATAGGTTTAATCAAAATTTTTTTTAATATTCCATAAAACCCCATGTGGGTCAATACACATTTTCTTGTATCCCAAGATGGAGACCAAGCCAGCTTACCTGGCCTGCTGTCCCAGCCACCACCAGCCTTCCGCTGTACTTACACAGCGAGATCTTCTGGATTCCCAGCCGGGGATCATCGCTGTATGGGTCAAAGCAGCCAACCTGAAACAAGAGGCTGACTGAAGACATCCATTTCTAGCCTAGAGGCCACACACAGCAAAAGCTTGCTGAGCAAGTTCAGTCGAGGAGCTGAGCAGACAGTAATAAGCAATGCTTGCTTGAGTCATCATTATCAGTGCATCTTATAATTGGAATGATCCAGTTCATGCGCTCTGCAAGTTAAAATGCAAAACCAAACGTTTCTTATTTGCTGGATCCAATCTTCAATTTAAAAGAGCTCCACCTTGTTGATTTACGAGCCTTTTCTTCCCAGCTTTCCAATACTTTAGCTAAAGTCATTCCCCATCTGTACCGCATAACTTGACCAAACCTGGAATGTCACAAGAAATGCTTGAGTCATGTTATGATCGAAATCAAGCGCCACTCAACATTACGTGACATTTTCCAGGAGTGGTCATTTGAAACCGTGAAACACATAGAACTAACTGATCCACTCAAGGAAGAAGCTGGTGTGAACTATTTACATTGATAGGCAATAATTTTTTTAATAACAGATGGTTTTATGTGAATGTACTGGAACAACTCAGGGCTAAAAAGCCATTAATGGAACTCTTACTAACCGTGATCATTCTCTAAGGTAGATGATAGTGTTGCATCAAAACAAAATCAATACTCAGCTTTAATATGCGTTTCGTTCCACACAAGCTTCCTTGATAATGGGGAGCAGTGAGTTTCCACAGAGCATGCAAGCTTGTAGCAGATAAAGATGAAGAAAAATGCTTTTGAAAACAATTTAGATTGTTTCCATCTTGTTCTGTATTGTGCTTTTATAGTAGCCCAAACAGTTGAACAAATATCCGAGTATAGTACTATATATATATACACACACACACCTATGTATAGATATAGTATACCTCAGCAGAATAAGTACAGTATGTTGTGTGAAAACATAGCAGACAAATTGTCGAGATCTTCAGAAGATTAAAATCCTCAACAATCTGTTTTTAATTGCACTCAGAACAGGATGATGAGCCTGTGTGAACACTATATGCTGAGGATGCTGTGTTCCAGACTGTAGTCTTATTGCTTTTTTGCAAGCAGAAGCCTGGAAAGAGAAAGAAACGGTCTTTGGCTTATATTTTGATGAAAACTGTACTCCCTGATATGAGTGACACTTATCAGGCCATTAGGTTTACACATTTGGATATGCAAGGCTGAAAAATAAATCTGTATATTCTTGGTTTGTGAAAGCGCAAAAGGGTCAGGAAAAATCCTTAATCTGGATTAAATTCTTCATATGTCCCCTGGTTCATAGCTGAACTCTTCAATTGAACAGTTCAATTGTTTTCTGGAAGAAACGTAGTCTAGCCCCAACATGGTGAAGTATTAGGCTGTTTTTAGTATAACTTCACATTATCTAAAAAGGTTCCCACAGTTGGATTGGGGCAGTTAAAAAAAACTTAACTCCCTTTAGGTACTTACAATGGAGCAGCAACCCTTTCCTCCTCTTAAAACCTGGTAACTGCATCACATAGCCCTCCAACTGCTGCCAATACTGAAAAAGTGGTGTATAAATACATTTATTGCTTTCCGTGCAGAATAAATCACACCTGTGATACACCAGGGTTTCCCCCACTGTAGTACTTGGGGTTCTGAATTCAGTGCGTTTTCCATCGCGACTTAAGGTATAAAGAGAGAAGGGTTATATCAATCCATTTAAGGATTAACTAGACCAATTTAACCCTCCTCCACAGCCTTAAGTCACACATTTAAAAGAGACGTAGCTGTACTGTAGCTGGAGACTGGAATGGAGATTTCCTGCTCTTGCAATGTTTCACAAAACACGACTGACTAAGGGGTTACCACCTCTGCTTTGCAGGGGCTCCGCGTCAGGACAAAACACTTGAACAGCGACTATCTCTTCACCATCACCGGGGTCCTGGGGCTTACCTTCCTAAAGGGTGGCCACTCCTCCTCCCCCGACTGCGTCAGGCTGTCGTTGTGGTCGCAGTCGGTCTGGAAGATGTTGGCAGTGCTCAGTTTGTAAAGAGGCTTGAGCGAGACGCCCGAGGCATCCCAGAATCGCACTGTACCATCTTCATGGCTACACACAAAATTGAAGACAACGTGGGTGAGTGCATGGAGGACAACACTGATGTGCTCTTCCTGTTCACAGACCTGCACTTCTGGATGAGTTAATTAGCCATTTACTTTCTGCAGAAAGTACCCCTTTCCCCTTCCCAGTTTACAATGGGGCGCTTACTGGAAGTGGAAACAACCTAATGGAGGTGTGTAATAATGATAAAGATTTCTATTAATTATTACAAAATTGAAAAAAAAATAAAGGCCAACATCTGCATGGTGGATCTGATCTGACTATACTATGACCTGACTATGGTGGACTAGTGTCGATTTGGGACAAATACATATTTTCCTCCTTTCATACGATGGTATCTAAAGACACTATCCCTGGACCCCTGCTCGAAAACCACTTATCTACTAAGGGTTTTCATTATGTTAACTATGAAAAGGTTTACAGTCTTCTTGACTGCTGTAGCAATATACAAAGAGCAATGCTCTTTAAGGACGTGAAGGCTTGTTTTGCCCAGTTACAGTTAAGGCTAAAAGTCCCATTTACTCACAAGAGTTATGTGCGAGTATAAGATTCAGATCTTCCCATTGCTCTTAGATCCTGGCTTGCAACCTCTCAGAGTAAACAGTTCAGCTGCACAGATCTTTATCTTTACACTGAAGAAGGCTCCACGGCCGAAACATTGTGTTCTCTTTCTTCTTTTTTTCAGCATGGAATAAACCTATTACTTGTTCCTTTGCAGCCTATGCATGCTGACGCAGCTACCCACCTGAACTACCACCTAATCCAGGACTGTGCCTCACTACATTCTATTAAATCATATGCATCAAAACTGCAGGGAGTCATGCTGGAGTCCTTCTAGCAGGTTTTGCTCTGTCTTTATAGGAAGTTTGCTAAACGGTGATAATTGCGTCTCATGACAAGACTAAGAGAGACTAATTGCGATTACATCACTCATATTTTTCTATACCTATTAGGTTGATAATGGTTTATCTCCATCTCTTTTGGAAAATACCCATTTAATCTGCTCATTTAAGGAAGTCAGTAGAGTCCAGTTGTCCAGTGTCATGCATTATACTATGATAATTTATCTAGGTAATTTACAGTCGTGTAAGACGGCGCATCTTTCATGTGCTTCTGCTAGGCCTTCCCCTGTTCAGGGTAAAACGATTTGCAATTTTTTTTTTTATCTACTCTTTTACAATGAATATACTATTCTTCACTGCACTTTACCATGCTTTCACACGGGTATAAACACTAATCTGTTATATGCAGTATGTAGTCACAGATCTATTCTGATGTCCATCTTCCAAAACGGTGAAATACTAGTACTCCGTGTTATTTAGACAAACACTATTCATGGATGGGACACCAATCCCCCAGTAATGCTGGTCCCCACTTCTGCAGCTGGGTGGACTGGAACAACTGGTGGGTTGTGGGTTCGAAATCCTGCTGCAGACCCTGCTGTTGTACCGTGTAGGATGTACCATTATCCAGTTACAAGTTCAGAAATCTACCCACTACACTATCTCTTGCCCACTGTTATAACACTGCTATAATTAAAAATGAAGAAAGCTGTGTTGGAAGATATTGGATACCACAGGAATCCCTGACAGGTCCTTATTCTTGGCAACACACTGCTAAACCTTACCCAGTCAGAAGCAGGCCTTTGTGCTTCGGCTCTGGTGCCAAGTTCTTCCCCCCGTTGATGGGCCACTTCTAGATACAGGGGGAAAAAAGCAAAAGTTGCACCTCTGAGATCACTGCAGACCATACAAAATGCAAGTACCTGGCCAAGACTCACAAAACACGATGGCGGGCTTCAGCAATAACACCCTGAAGAGCATATGGAATGTATTATGCTCAAGCATAATGTTTTGATAGTTGTCACTGTCTGCTAGACGGACACATGGAATACTGTTCCAGCTCCTGACAGGATTGTTCTGGCCAGCAAAGCTACACATACACAGCCTGTCACCACGTCAGTGTAGTTACCTGACTGAATGTTGCTAATATTTTGGCTGATAACCACGTACTCTCGCAGGACTCAGATGTGTGAGTAATAGATGTGAGTGATGTCTGGATAAGCTCATGTTGACATCACTGTTTTGGGAACAGTAAATGGCACGCTTTCGGATCACACTTCATTGTGTCACACGTTTAATATTTGACAGCCCACACGGGGAATGGCACAGAACTCTGAAACGGGGTTTCACAGCATTTCATATATCTCTTTCTTCTCATGCCACAGTATTCTCAATACCAACTCCTTGCAGGCTCTGTGCATAAATGTGCCAACGGCTACGTTTAATTTAAGCATTCCATCTGCTTCCTATCAAACACTCAGATTTAGTTATAATGCATTTAACAACTGACACCTGGCACTGTGCTAATACAATCAAACCTGCATTACAACCACCTGTCAACTGTGGCTGCTTTGCAAAATCCAGAGTATTAGCTGTCCTGAAGTGTGTGGGTAAGGTAACTCACTACAGCCAGCAGCAGGACCAGTCTGTTTAAACCCCTATGTGTTATGCCAACACAGTGTGAATTTTACAACTCTTAAGCTGTTAAGTATACTAAAGTCTGAGGCTGTGCTGAAACTTTGCATGTGGTGGTTGGGAAATAAGGATCCCAATTACTACTATTCTACAATAGTACATGCAGGTACAGTAAACCTCTGTCCCATAAAGTCATACCTTCAGGACCATTTTCTTAATATCTCAAACGGCAGAAGCTCTTGTGTTAGTGTTGTGGATGATCTCTATAATGATGGAACAACCAATCTAAAATACCTGTTGATCTAAACCGTGCATAAACCTTAATATTTTAGGAACAACAGTTAAAGTGATATATTAATGCATTTATATAACATTCTGTATGTGAAAGGCTTTGGGACCAGGATACAGAAATCACCCACCACTTCAGTGCAGCACCCAACAGTATGACACCATAGCCATTCTGGACCAGCAGCCCCACTGCACAGCAGATCGGGTAGAAAAAGTGAAAAACTGCTTTCCTCATTGAATGAAGGAGAAGAGGTAGGCCAGACTGCGTAAGCCCAGTGTGAGGTTCAGCCAGGATGGCAGGGATACAAATTCTTCTTCTGAATAGTTTGCTAAAATGAAGTTAGGATGTTGGTTTCACAACTCATCTTAATGACAGAACCTCATATACCACAGTGTCCTCCAGTTTCCATACTTGGGCATTGGTTTGCACACACCAGTCCACAGACAGGTCTCCCATCCACGTACCAACTAAGCTCAGCCTTGCTAAGCTTCAGATATCTGACAAGACCAACATTGCAGATGGAAACAACAATAGCTCTAGCCAGATACCTCTACCACCTTAAACCACCTCAACCCATTCATTTAGCCACTGTCTAGGAGAACTACTCTTTGAACCGAGTTCCTTTTGAAATTTGTCCCCCCAAAGGTAGCCCATTCTTTTTTGGCTAATTTTGGTCCTAGCCAAATTTCCCATTGGCCCTTACCAATCATGGCCTCCTAATAATCCCCATCTCTGAATTGGCTTCATTACTCTGCTCTCCTCCCCACTGATAGCTGGTGTGTGGGGAGCGTTCTTGCACACTATGGCTGCCGTCGCACCATCCAGGTTGGGCTGGACATTAGTGGTGGTGGTGGAGGGGAGTCCCCATTACCTGCAAAGTGCTTTGAGTGGAGTGTCTAGAAAAGCGCTATATAAGTGTAAGCAATTATTATTATTATTAATTATTAGGTCCCTGATGGACTCGGTTGTTCCACATCAGCGGTCCTGTATAACCGATATCCCTTCTCCAAGTTGCAAGCACAATCTTACCATGTGTGTCTGAGGTGGGCTCTGCTGCTGCCCTGCACCAATGATCTTTTCCCACAGCTTGGTTGGCACATTGGAAATGTGGTAGGAGCAGGTAATGGCAGAAGAGTGCAGTGGAGCAAGGTATGGAGATGGAACAGTGGGCCACCCAGAGGTCTGGAGGTCTATCACAACCAACTCCTCCTCCAGCAGGACCACCAGGGCAGTGGGGTCATCGTACTCTGTTACAGCAAAACAGGAGGGATCAAACTGGGAGACGCTGGTAGCCTTAAAAAATGAGCAACTTAGTGTCAAATTCCTTAACTAAATCAAACGCATAATAAAGATAAAAACATTTTAAAGCTGGTACTAAAAATCCAGTTTACTCAAAGCATCAAATTTAGTGTGCAGATTTCAATTTTTAATCCTTTAAGATCTCCCAGAATTCTTTGCCAATATTCTGCTTCAGGATACTGTTACATCGTGCAACCGGAGATCATTCTGAAATGCATTTAGTTCATTCTGAGTGCAAAATGTTTATCCGAAACATTTTTAAACTGCTGCAAAAAACAGATGAGGTGTGCACTTGCAGGAACTTAAAAGCTTAGCTACTGATCTCACTGACCTTTGTCAACATCTGTATTGTGAATGGTGAAAAAGTCAATGACGCGAGAGGTGAAGTCCAACGTCACTTGTGTCGTCTCCTGGAGCACAGTCACACAGTGTCGGTCTCCATAGCTGGCCCTGGGCATCCCCCCACTGAACAGCACAAAAGGGGCCCTAAAGCAACCAAAGGAAAAATAAATCCATCTAGAAACACTGTGCATTACAGTACGAAGCAGGAATTCCCAATCCCAGTCCTAGTGAATCACACAGCTGCTGGATTGTGTTCAAGTCAAGCCCTCGGTTATACGAGTGAACCCTCCACGGACTTAATATTACGACTAATTTGAAGTGTTAAAGGGTTTTTGGCTTTTAACCATTGCATTTCATGTCAAATAAAATCCCAAATCTCTGGGGGGAAAAAAGACAGCAAACATATTAAGACCTCAATTAGGAAGATAAGCTCAGCTAGAGTAAGAACCAGCATGTGTGTGGGGGTCCCCAAGACCCAAACTGAAATCCCTGATATAAGGAACCAACTGTATACGAAACACCCATGGGCTGTACCTCAACACTTCATTGTAATTTTCAGGTCTTGTTACATTAGAGCCTTAAGGAAGCGGTACATTTCTATATAAATAAGATCACCGTAAAGATCAAATTACACATGCTTTTAAATATGAACATGTAGAATTCAAGACATTGTGACGTTTCGGTAAACTAGCTCAGCGGATTAGACATTTCGGGTCAGCTCCACCACTTTTATTGAAGAAGGCGTGACACAAACCCGGACTCGGTCGTCCTCCACAGGATCTTGTTAATGGCTTTGCAAGGAAAAGGACCTGGAGAGGGAGGAGCAGAAAGACTTGTTTCAGACAAACCTCAACAAACACTGGTGGGTTTCCTGGCAGACACAGGGAGCCCCATGTGCTGCTCTGCGGTTAACCAACTGCTGTCAAAAACTCAAACTGCCAGGAGGAAGGCAGCAGAAACCTCCTGCTTAACTCCTAAGTAAAGCAGAAATAGTAAGAAGAGCCCCTCTCTTTTACCTGTTCTTAAAAATAGTTATGCAACTGTATTAAAAACCACTGAAATATATGTTTTCAGAAGCAATTACTTTAGGTAATCTGAAATGGTTATGGAATTCAGATTACAGGACAAATTTGACAAATTTAACCTTTGGCCTCCTTTCCCGAGAAACACCAAGTTAAAACCAACCAATGGTGGTGAATGTGTTCCCACTCGCTGGGGTGTAAGCTATTTATTGCCGCCACTCAGTTCAGCGAACAATGGAGTGTAGCTCAGACACACTGTCACCTGGAGTCTGGTCAGCTGATTGCTCTCCAACGCTCAGGGCAGACCAGGCCGCGGCTGAATCTTGCACACAGCCGCCGGACAAAAAGTAAAAAGTGCAGTGCCATCGCCTGGCTCCATTCAAGTAGTGATAATTCATAATTCCTTTAATTTATATAGCACTTTCCTGGACACTCCACTCAAAGCACTTTACAGGTAATGGGGATCCCCTCCACCACCACCAGTGTGCAGCCCCACCTGGATGATGTGACAGCAGCCATAGTGCACCAGAACGCTCACCACACACCAGCTATCAGTGGGGAGGAGAACAGAGTAATGAAGCCAGTCCAGAGATGGGGATTATTAGGAGGCCATGATTGGTAAAGGCTAATGGAAAATTTTGCCAGGACACTGGGGTAACACTCCTAATCTTTTTGAGAAACGCCCTTTTTTACTTTAAAGTGTGCCCGTCACTATACTGGGGCATTAGGACTCACACAGACCACAGGGTGAGCGCCCCCTACTGGGCCCCACTGACACCTCTGCCCGGTGCGTTCCCGGAGAGCGCTCGGGTTCAAGCGGCCTCCCCCGCTCACCGTACGGTATGATGGAGGTGACGGGCTGCTGTGTCCGGAGGCCGCCGCCGCCGCCGTTCACTGCCCACACCATGTATCCACCGTCGCTGTGGGAGCTCACCAACGTCTTCCCGCTGCGCTCCCAGCCCAGGCTCTCCAGCTGCTGGGGGGGGGACATACACACAAGACAGAAACCGTCAAACATCCAAGCCCTTCACCAGTCTCCTCACCAAGACGCAGGTCTGGGGGAAAAGTCCCAATAGAGGAAATGGAGACGGGCAGCTACATTTCCCAGAAACACCAGTTTGCGTGGTTGTAATTCTACCTCAGATCTTTGCTGAAGCAATAAATGCGATGAAGGATTAGGAACTATTATTTTTGTCTTGGTTTTATACAGTATGGAGAGCCGTGGAGAGCCAGTTTGAAGGCTGCAAAGGTCTCGGAGGCAATGAGGACTTGGGACAAGAGTGAGAAAAGCAAGGCACACCTGGGAAGCACTTGCTTCAGGTATTCAAGGGAAGGAAATTGACCAGTCTGGGGAACTGGAGGAGTTTCCTAGGAATATGACAAGAGGGAAAGTAGAGATGGTTTTCTTTCTGGGCAGACCCATCTTTCAATGGGGAAAAACCTGAACCAGTATTTTGACAGCACAACTTGGTTGAAACGCAGTCTGGACCAGAACATGAAGACGAGGAATAATACTTGTGCACTATTTCTCAACTCAACTATGCGGTAGGTGTAGGGAAACTGCCAACAGAAGATGCCTGAAAAAGCACTCGGCCCCTCAGTGTGTTACAGCAGTTAATTACGAAGCCTGTAGAAATTCAGTCTCCAAGGACTGCAGTTACCTGCTATCGATTGACATGGATAGCTAAGACAAAAGCTAGCCAGGATGCCAGTAATGTTCAAGCTTGATGATCCCCTTGGGGAAATTCGCTTCGCAGCAAAGTATAACAACAAAAACAAGCATCACCAAGTTCAGCAATAGTTCAGGACAATTTCTTTTACATTTAGAGAAAAATTGCAAAAGGGATAAACAACTTCCTTAGTCTGTTTCCATTACACCCTGAGGCACAGAGGCATCTCCCAGATGGGAATAGTGCAAATCCACAGAGGAGGGGGTGACCACACTCTCCATAATGTTCTTAGCCTTCTTTTGACCCGTTGCTTGTAGAGGGCATTCAGATGGATCGGCTTCACCTCCCCCATGATTTTGCAACTCATGAACTCTAATCTTCCCCCACCTATTGCAATTTGCAGTGTTGATGCTGCTCTTCAACTCTTCTAGAAAACTGTGCTCGATCATTACGTGAAGGTCTTGAAAGACTTGCTCTTTGTCAGCGTTTAACACAAATGAAAGAAATGGGAGAGATGCCTGTAAATATGGTCTCCTTGACAACTCGTGACATTTGATCATGTTTATTACCTTTTCTGCTTTATGGGAAATGGGGACATAGGGAGGTTTTCATGAGTGTGTGCACTACATACCTAATACTATGAGCTATGCAGTGTGTGATATTACAGAACACCTCTGAAAAAAGTAGCAGCACTTAGAAGCTGGTGATACAATGCAGACACAGCCCATTTTGACTAAAAAAAGGCATCAGCGAGGAGCTTCACTCACCTGGTTTCCCAGGAAGAGGCCGTCCACCTGCCTAGTGCTCTGGTCCCACAGCACCACCAGGCCTCGGCTGTATCCGATAAGAACTTTGTTTGGACTCTGGGGGTGTTCCTGTAGTGACTCCACTGGCCCTAGAGATTTTCCACTCTTGTAGTCCTCGGGAACACTGGAAGTGTACAAAAGAGGGACTGGCGCATAAACAACGAGAATCACAGAATTTTGAAGAAATCAACAAAATAAATGGAGCTCCATGGTTACAATACCCAAAAAAAGCCTAACCGGGGAAAGATTACTGGGGCATATGAAGACAAAGCATCATAAAGACATTATACACAGCCAACAGATTCTAAAAATAACTACTGAATTGTTTCCGCACACATCAAATGTGGACTCAAAGGCCAGCAATGATCTTCTTTTCAGCCCACATGACCCTCATACAAACACAGGAGGTGTGAGGACTCGGATAATACAGGACTGAAACAGAGTATTCATCTGTTGTGAGTTACTGTATCTCCATGGCGAATTCTGGTCACAAGTGGCTAAACATCATATCAGTGATGTGTAGACTTCAGAGCTCAAAATGGAACCTTAACAACCTCGTTTGAGAACTCCTGAGACTTCTCCTAAACAACACTTTGAAACATTGTATTTTAGCCAACCATGTATAATGCTGCCTTAGCACACTTTTGTTTCCATGTCTGAAGTCCCTACTCATCAGGGATAATAGCTGGATTTTGCATAGGGAGGCTTTGAGATCACTTCCTGGACAGATGCAAGTTTCTAATGTGTATTCAGCTGCTTGGCAAAGTCCTGAAGAATACAAATTACAGTCATTACCCTGAAACTAAGACAAGGCCCCTGGCTTAGAGGCTGCCACTAGCAGCTTATCACCACAAAGGTCAGCATTTAGCAAAGAACTGAACTCTAAAACTCGGTAAAACATTTGGGAGCTTAGACCAGGCCACCATTCATCAGCACGAAGCTTGAACTCATGGCTATTTAGTCAATGATGTGCTTCATTGAAAAGCATCATGAACAATGAAAACGGAGCCTTATGGGATCGGGCAGTGCCAGGCAAGCCTCCTAGTTGTACACATCTGTATCCCAGTGAAGGCTGGGCTAGGTTTCGGTTCATGCGGAAGACATGGCCAACATCCAGCGCTGGAATGTGCACACTGCGTCGATTTGGCCAGCAGACAGGAGATGCCCATGAGGGGGCAAGCTAAGGGGAAAAGGATTACTGGCAGCATGCCAGGCTGAAAGGCGAGGCCAAAAACCACAAAACAGACAGACAGCCACATAGTACCCAAGTCCCAGGAGCAGGAAAGGCCTCGCAGCGCTTCATTCCTCTGCCTAAAAGGGCAACCGCTGAGCGCAACCCCCAGGGCAAAGGTGAGCAGTGCTGCAAGACTTGCGGACAGCAAGGTGAGAGTCGCAGGCCCTCAGTGTCATCTTAACCCCGCGTGCATGTTTGACTGCACATCTAGTCGCCACACTGTTGCTTAAAGCAGGGGTCTCCAAGAGTCCTGGAAGGTCTCTCATCTTTGATTTTAGCTGCAACCCGAAGAGTAAAATCAAATTTATTCTTAATTGACCCCCTCAAACTTTTATGCTCGATTCCTCAGGACACCCAATTCATTCAAGGCACAGTTACCTACAAAAAAAAAAAGTTACCCCATGAACACAATCAAAATGCAGCTCATAAACCTACAAGTAGAATAAAAAAAAACAAGACAAGTCCCTACAGGAATGGAGTTTAAGAAACATGGCTTAATATTAGCTGGAAATTCAGTTTTCTCCAACTGCTCTCCCACATTCCTACACTTTTCAAACTTTGAAATGAAATCCAATTAAATGCAGGAATAAATCACTGGGATTTCATACCCTCATAGTAACCCTGAATCACTAGGGGAGCAAGGGAAGGCAAATCGTGCCAAAGAAAGCATTGTTAAAAACAGTGGTTTAAATCCCATTTCTTGAAATCTTTAAGTGCGCGCTGCAAGACAAAATCCCACTATGGACATCTTAACAAGAAACAGAACAATCCTTCAGCTAGACTCCAAATACTGCATGACTAACGATTTTATGATCTGAGGACTGCAAGGGAAAAAAAAATCAGATTCACAGTACATAATTGCTCAACATCTATTTGAATGTAGTTTGGGGGAAAACAAACCCCGCTTAGCTTAAAGTTAAGATTGGCTGGGTCAAAATGATCCAAAAGCACAGTTTTGTACCCTTATAAAATGATCCTTGACCCATGTTCTGTTCTGGTGGTAGGAACAGTACATCAACAGTCTCTTCTTGTTAATTGACTGCTCAATTTTTAAAATAATACTACAATTAAAAAAAAAACTCCATAGAATACATTTATTAAAGCATGAACTTCTTAGGCACTCGAGCTATTATAGACATGTACCTACCACATTGCTCATCGCTTTCAGGGATTTTACCAGGGTTGTTATACAGTACAAACCACTTTGATTTGCAAATTCTCCTTCAGCCCCTTAAAACATGCTTGTTTTTCCAAATTTGTCAAAGCCGCATTTAGCCTGTAAAGATCCCCATTAAACATCTAGTTATTAAGCAGGGCTCAATTAGGTCTTCAGCTCTAAAAAAGCTCAGCAAATGAGCGGGTTAGGGCTCATCTTCACAGAGACAGTAGTTATTAGGCACCAGGCAACCAGCATCTCATAGGGAGGTACAAGCTATAATTTAAAGCAGGATTTCACTATCTTTATAATCGTGGGGGGGAGGAGAGAGAGACTCAATTTGGACTGTTTCTATAAAACAAGGGTTTTAGAATGCACTATTCCAAAACTATTACAAAATGAATCATTCTACAGCAACGTTAACATTAACACACTTTATTTTGCTTTTTTAGTATTCTCAAAAAGGGCAAACTTATGCCTGACGGGAAGATTTGCTCTATAATTACCATAAATTGTACACTGTGTGAATACATGATAAAACCATCCTCTTATGCTCTGACACACTTATTGGATTGTATTGCAACCTAACTGGTAGGCCCTTATAACATTTATTAAAAAAAGACTTAATCATTAGTGTAATTTATGCTAAAGTATGCAAATGTTAGACCCTGCTAGCAGTGCACTGATATCATCTAAATGCACATGCCTCATCCACATGATGGAATCACACCTTATGAAATTCTGCTGTGTGTGCCTTTTCCATTACAAATTAAATATCCGCAACCTCAATGCAATTCCTCTCCCATCTGATACAGACAGATTTGGATCTAGATTTCAATGTATATTTCTCTTATTGCAGAGTAAATGAAATGAGAAAACCATGCAGTGGTTTATCTAAAAAAAAAGGTTAAAGAGCATTACACATTTTCTCTCTCTTCTTTACAAGAGACATGCACAAAGCGAAAAACGCACTGGATCAAATTAGGTAAATAGAGCCTTTGGATCTTAATCCATCCTCCGACTCCTTTCCCGCAGGGAGAGAAGCTGACCTGTGCTCAGAGCAGGGATGTTCCTGGAGCGAGTGTCTGAGCACAGCTTGGAGCGCAACCAGTGGAGCACCACAATGCTCACGGACATTTGATCACAGTGTTCAGAGTGACTGAAGCCAGCGTGATCCAGCCTCTTCAGACCACATAAGTCAAACAAGGAGACTGCGAGGGCCAAGAGGCAGAGAAAATAAATAAATGAAAGCTCTCCAGCAGTATTAACATGACAGCAGAGGCCGCAGAATGAAGTGGGGAGTCCCATAATTCTATTAGTTACGCAACGCTTGACCGCAAAGCACCCCAGCCCACTTGGATACCTTGCGCTATTACACAATCTCGTCAAGCTGGCTGTTTTAGCTTCCTAGTCCGGGCAAAGAACAGGCATATCTTTCAAAGGCTGACTCCAGACCTGAACTGCCACCTTTACATAGACACGATCTGTCAGCAGAGGTCGGGGAAATAATGACACCGTCTCGCTACAATACCAGTTGATTTCTCCTCCTGGGAAAAAAGACGAAGAGTTCAGCCAGGAGGAATTAGATGTCCAGTCATTTGCTTTTTATAGAATTTGGGATGATTTCCCTTTTGTTTAGGAGGGAAAAAAAACCTCCTTGGTTTTAGAGAAATTAGCAATTACATTTTATACAATGGACTCATGGATTCCTCCGAGTGCGGGGTTTGGTATGGCTGCAGAGGGTAAGATTTTAAAAGAAGAAAAAAAAAAGGTTTAAGTAAAATAAACTTTGAGCCTTATTTTGGACAAAACAGCTTCAACGTATAATGATTAAGCCTGAATCCCACCATGCATCTACAGGACTGAAGGACCTATGCCATTATCCAAAAGAAGAGAAGGCAAGAAAAAAAAAACAGTCAGCAAATTTGGACAAATCCCTACAGAATGACAATAAAAGTTCAAAGTGGGAAGTCACCTGCTGTCGCATACCACAAAGGAACAGAAGAACAAAGAACACTTTTCAACTATGTATCCCATTTTTAGGTGTTGCCAAAATAAAGGAAGACATTACGAATGACGGGAAAAAAACCCACTTGAAGTTAAAATGCAGATACCCTTTTCCTTTTCTGTAACTGTGGCGTTTGTAGAATGTTATCGGCTCTGGGCTGAAGTTTGGTGCTACAACGGTAGTATCTTTGGTTTTTTATGACACCAGGAAAGAAGGAGGGGGTGGGGAAAATCGAGCAAAGTGACTTAATGAAACAGATGGGGCTCAGGTTCTTGGAGTTTGACGTTTGAGTCCCTGCGGCCCATTTCTCCGGCCACACAAGATTAATGTACCATACAAGCCCCCTCTCTAGATTCCTGTACTCCTCAGGCCTGGCAGGGGTCCAGCAGCAATCAGCTTTCAGAGCTCTCTTCACCCTCCACACCAGGGCCTGCAGCTTCACACTCAGGGAGGCAAAACTACAATCTGCTCAGGCAACAAAACCCAAATCCCTCTGTAACAAATCAAACAGGACTTGTTTTGCTGTGGGACATCAAAAACCCAAAAGCACACCAAAAAAAAAAATACCCCGAGCTGACTCTTATCCAACATATGTAATACTTGCACACAGAAAAACAAGAAACACTTAGCAAGGGAATTTATTTGTTGATGAAGCAAGTCCCCAAAACTAGGCAATATATCTTGTTGGTCTACTGCAAAAAAGTTAAATTTGCTGATTTAGATATTTTGTTGTCAACATCTGCCAGCTGCTTGATAATAAATGAAACAAGACACTTGTCTTGCATTTAGTTGGATAGACCCACACAGGAGAAAAATGGACAGCGCTCAGATATTTCACATCAAATCTGTGCAAGTCAGTTATCTTAAAGAAACATCTGTTAATTCCCTACAGCATTAAACCACTCCTTCCCTTTTAATTCTTAAAGCAGAGAAATGGACTGAAGTCATCAACAGATTACACTTCTGTTTGTAAAAATGGAAAACTGGCCTGTGGAAGACTTGAAAAATAGTTGATGGAGGACTGCCTTGGAAAGCACATGAGATTGCTACAGCTGTGTCTTTTGAACCGTTTTAGCGCTTTAGAAAGCTGGTGTAATTCAGGATCTGGGCTTACACACACAGAGCCAAGCACTGCACATAAAATTCCTTAATGAAATTAGTTACGAATGATTGTAGTAAACAGCTTTGTAAATTAAGTCCATTTATTTATACTAAGTGGACTTCAAACTTGAATCTGCACTGCAAGAATAAAATCTCAGCACAGAATCTGAGCTCAATTAAAGCTTAATATTTCTGTTATAAGATATGATTTTATTGTCCCCTGAGGGAATTTTTGTTATGGACACCCAGCAACATTTAAACAGAATGCAAACAAAACAACAAAAAAGCAAAAACATTGCACATCACTCTATTGAACATGTACAGTATAATACATAACATGTAACATTTATAACATCACAAAATTTATTGCACCCAAGTGGATTGTAAGAGTCAAAATTGTGTTTATCCCTGACATTTGTGTTGACAGCTTTAATGGATAGTGGGACAAAGGAATGTTTGTATGCGTTTGACTTACATTTGGGAACCCTAAAACGTTTGCCAGAAGGAAGAAGTTGATATTCAGAGTTAAGGATATGGGAAGGATCGGATATAATTTTTCCTGCCTGTTTGATTATGGATTTTTCAAAGATTGTCTGCAGAGAGGGGTGCTGTTTCACTCCTATGACCTTCAAAGCTGTCTGGGTGAGGCGGGTAATTTGAGATTTTAAATGAACTGATAGATTACCAAACCACACTGTGATACCATATCTGATCATGCTCTCAATTACAGCATGGTAAAAGAGTAGCACTACTCCCTGTCAAACCCCAAACACTCTTAGTCCTTGCTGAAAGTCTGAAAGAGGGACGCCAATGGAAATTGCAGTAGTGTACATCTACAGGCCTTGCACAGCAGTTGTAGAATAAAGTTTTGGGAATGTTTTAAGGGAGATTCCCATTAAAAAGAGGTCCTTCTGGTGCCACAAACGTCCGGATAGAGAGGGTACTCTCGACCCTTTGACAAGAAAACCTGGTTGTTATAAAAACATCTGCCAAATGAGCACATAAAACAAGGTTATGATTTTGAAACATCTGACATGGTGGAGAAAAGGATGAAGCCACAAAACTTGTCACTCTCTCGTGTGTCATCTGGAGCCCAAGTCTACACAGGGCAAAAGCTCATGATATTAAGCTGCAGTGTCACGTAGCCCCAGACAAACCTTTAATCTGCATTCCAAGACCACTAAAAACTCACATAGTATATACAGTACCAAGCATCAAAAACTCTTTACTTACAACTGCAAGAAATTCCAAGTAAACAGGGAAAAGTTTCTAGAGCAGATATGCAGACATGACAGGTAAATTAATCATGTTGATCAACAATTAATAATTGCTTACACTCCACTCAAAGCGCTTTACAGGTAATGGGGGCTCAACTCCACCACCACCAATGTGCAGCACCCACCTGGATGATGCGACGGCAGCCATAGTGCGCCAGAACGCTCCCCACACACCAGCTCTCAGTGGGAGGAGAGCAGAGTAATGAAGCAAATTCAGAGATGGGGATTATTAGGAGGCCATGATCAGTAAGGGCCAATGGGAAATTTGGCCAGGACGCCGGGGTTACACCCCTACTCTTTTCGAGAAGCACCCTGGGATTTTTAATGACCACAGAGAGTCAGGACCACGGTTTTACGTCTCATCCGTGCTTAAAACTGGCACCATCTCAAGCTGAACCAAAGCTGAGGCCTGGCTGCAGAACGGTGACAAATTTTAAGGTGGTCATTCTAAACCACATAGAAAAAACAGTTCTACACATACATGCGTAGATAACATTTCTTGCTCGGGAAACATTAGTGTGGCTCCTCAGGACAATTCCGGATCACTCAAATGGCATCTACATGCCCAGCCATCTACATTGGAGAAACAGGCAGGAGAATCAGAGACCGCATCAGAGAACAGGTTAGGGCTGTGAAGATTAAAGATCTCTCCAAGCCCATAATTTCCCATTTCACCTCTGACGGCCATGACCATTCTAATCTTTCCGTCTGTGTTCTCAAAGACGGTTTTCTGAACTCATACATCAGAAAGAGTACAAAAAACAAAATTATCCTGCAGCTAGGATCACACCTTCTCCCTTCTCTTAACGACAGACTTTTCTTCTAAATTCTCTCTATGCATTGTAGGTTTCATTTCACACCTCTCTTCACCTATCCTGACTTCACACCTCCCAATTGGCCAATCTGTCTGTCCCCTGCTCCCGCCTCTCACTCCTCCTCTCTCCCAGCTGTTGTTCTCCTGCTACATTACCTTTGCCTACTGCCTTGTCTTTCTCACACCTGAAGAAGGCTTCACGGCCGAAATGTTGCGTTTTCTTTCTCCTTTTTTTCCAGCATGGAATAAACCTATTACTTGTTCTCTTGTAAAATCATGACCTTTTTTTTTTATAAAGTTAAGATCCTTTGTTCATGAAACCGGAGTGAATTGCAGGGGAAATAAGAACATGTCCCAATCCTTACCTCTGCATTATCTCATCCTGGAAGAGGGACTTGCTGTCCAGGAGACGGAGGCTAGGAAGCTCTAGGAAGTGTACCCCTCCCCCCTCTGTGCCCAGACAAGCCACATCACAGCTCCGCTTCAGCAGGATGACTGTCAGTCGGGTGGCACTGCAACACAGTGGGTCAGTCAGTCTAATACAGATTGCAGGGCATCCTAATTTCCTGCATCAACTGCAGAAAAACAAACAAACCGAGCAAGAGGCCTGCAGGGACACACAAAGTCTAATTCTCTGTATTTGTTTTGAGAACGCATCATGGAAGGGAAGCCGCAGTCAGGCTGGTGGAGGACGCGGGCGGCTAACCTGGTGCTCTCGTGACCCGGCCGCCCAGGCAGAGTGAAGCTGTGGACCTCCTCCAGTTGAGAGCGGCCCTCTCTCAGGTTGAGCTCCCAAAGGTGCAGGGTGTTGTCATCCAGCAGGGACAGCAGCCGTCCCTGCCAAGAAACGAACAAACAAACAAAAAACTCACTGAAAAGAAGTGAATGCAAGAATTCTGAAGGTATTTCAGAATTAACACTCCAGGTGAACTGTCCTAAGAGAGTCAATACCTCCATACAGATTTGGTTTTTGAAACAAAAATTAATATTCTTGTCGAGTGTATTGAACAATGACCGCAAAAATATAAATTTATAAATTTAGACTCAATACGGGAGTGTTAACATGACAGGTCTCTGGTTATATTGAAGAAAATTCTTCAAAGCTCCCTACAAAAAAAAACAATCAGCCAATTCAGTTTGGTAGGATAAAACAATTTATGGAAACTGTACTATGATAAAGATAGCCTGGATAATTGTAAAGACTCCAGGAAGACGTTCTCAACGATATATTAACTTGTGTTTGTCGCAGCTGTCAAAATGGTAAGCAGCTATTAGGAAACGTACTTGTTCCATAAGCAAAAATACAAAACCAAAGCAAAGCTTCTTTATTGTAGCAGCTGTTGGTCCTTCCTGTGGTGGGTGTTGCAGACCACATGCAGAATGGGAGCTGCAGCACAACAGCATTAATAACAGAGATAAGAAGGTTCCCCTTTGTGAAGTTTTTTCCTCTGTTACTAAAAGAAGGGAAAAATTCAAATGGGACTTGCCTTTGCAGTGAATGGGGAAAAAAGGACTTCTTACCTGACCAGGCAGAAAGTGCATCTGTGTCACAGTGGCAGTCTCCTTGTGCAAGCCTGTGAATTCCACACCTGGGGCTCCATAGCTGGGGCAAATGGCAGTCAAGGAAAGCAACTCAATCCCACACCCTACACACTTGCACAGTTAATAATAATAATAATAATAATAATTGCTTACACTTATATGGTGCTTTTCTGGACACTCCACTCAGAGCGCTTTACAGGTAATGGGGATCCCCTCCACCACCACCAGTGTGCAGCCCCCACCTGGATGATGCGACAGCAGCCATAGTGCGCCAGAACGCTCACCACACATCAGCTATCAGTGGGGAGGAGAGTAATGAACCCAATTCATAGATGGGGATTATTAGGACGCCATGATTGGTAAAGGCCAATGGGAAATTTGGCCAGGACGCCAGGGTTAACACCTTTACTCTTTTCGAGAAACACCCTGGGATTTTTAATGACTGCAGAGAGTCAGGACCTCGGTTTTATGTCTCATCCGAAGGACGGCACCTGTTTACAGTATAGTGCCCCCGTCACAGGGTGAGTGCAGTCTCTGTAGCACTTCACTACAGATGTCTTGGAGTGCAGACGATTTTCCAGAGTACATCTGGGATCTGGCTGTGGTTAACATTGAAGCTTGGCCCGAATTATTAAGTTTGTTTTTAATACAATTTTTAATGACAGCTTAGCACCCCATCTTCTCCCTTTAAAGTCCTCACATACTGCAGTTACTGGGTCTCCAGCGAACAGACACCAACTTGTAATGTATTGCTGACTTTGCTTGCTAAAGCAGAGCTGGATCTTGTTTGGTTTAGTAGACGTGTCCAACAAATTACAGATTTTAAAACTCAAGTGCAAGAAATACGCCTAGCTGATGTTTTCACAGGTGAGTAGGAGGGATTCAAATCCATGATTACGTGTCAAAAAGACGTTTTAACCTCTTAGAACAGTGGAGTTCATATTGAACATGGGGGAATCTCTGCAAATTGTAACGAGAACATGGAAGCCTGTTTCAGAGTTGGGAAATTTTTCCCCATCAGATTGCTTTGTCACACAGGCGGAATCTTGAAAGTATACAAAAAAAGTTACAAAAGTAACTTAACAGACAAGTGTAACTATGGAAATCTCAACTATTATATGCATTACCGTACAGAATGGTTTTTCACAATTTAGTTCACAACTATAATGACCAAAGTTGAAAAATGTCCCTCCTCTACAATGTTGTTGGAAAGCATGGGTTTAGAACAATGTGAAAGTGGGACAGCCTTGCTATTTAATGAACTACAGCACCTCAGTCACCTCTTGATAAGAAAATACTTGGATTTCTCTGAATTTTGTCTAGCATCAAGGTAGCCGTTTTTCCCCCACAGAGAAAAACAAAAAAATACAAACATCTACCCATGTGTATTAGTCTCACACCACTCCTACAGGAACCCACAACTATACATGTACTGCTCTCACAATTACACATTGCCCTCTCACTTTTACACACAACCCACTGACAGCACTTGCCCATAAACCATTACTCATTTATTGTGAACACTTTTTTTTTAGCAGTCCGAGTATGTGATAAAAATTCCTCATTAAGACTACACTGACAGAGAACATCTGAAGGCATGAGTCGATATTCTTCATGCAGAACATGCAAGGAGCTACTAACGGATAGCTTCAACACTCTTAACGCAAAGCAGAATGGAAACTCTGCTCAAGTGGCTGCCCTCACAATCTCAGCTCTTTGTTGCACAGAAAGACTGCGCAACACTCACAGGGTTGTACTTTGCAAGCAACACGCTTTGCCAAATAAAAGAGCTTTTGACAAAAATAATTCAAGGCAGAATTAGTCATCACATAGCTATGCATTATCCTCTGCAAAGAAGCCAGAAATACACAGTAACGGTACGTAAGCAATCATGTATCTTTGGAAAGCTATAATTTAAAGGTGACAATTATGGTGGGGTGACCCTGTATGGAATAAAGCAGTTAGAAAATGGATGGATGAATTATGGTGGGAAAGTTACTTTTCTCGTTATGGTCTCTTGCTTTGGAGTTCTACAGAAAGACAACAACTGAAGTAGGAGCAATTGACCCCATGACTAATCCTACAATTAAAGAGTTTTAGTACCTAGTTACGTGCTTAACCTGTAGAGTATATTGCTTCCCTGCAAACTTGAATTGCCTGGGTGTTTTGGTGCTGAACTTAAAAGCAGTTCTGTGTCAGAGAGGCTTTTGTTTCTGTGACAAGGACTCACCAGGCAAAAAACACAAACTCAAAATTGTGCCCCCAGCACACAAGTTATTTCTTTTTATTTTTCTTTTCATTTTGGATGGACAAAGGGCTTTCTGTGCTATCTACTGGAGCCTGGTGAACAGCTTGCGCGAGTCAAGGAATGGTTTAAGAAGTCTCATTCACATTGTGTTTTGAGAAAAAAAAAACAGCCCTGGTGTTTACCACAGTTTTAAGCAGACCGTCGCAATTAAGAATAAATCTGTTCTGCCGTTTTCGACGATATTTCCTCTCGGTCTCGCCGGTTTTAAAGCCAAGAGCACAGCTCAACTGTCATTTCTGGAAGCCAAGTGGGTCTTGTTTAGAACCAAAACACAAACAGCCCACTTTGCCTCCGCTTTGTTAGGAAAGCAAAGGCCGGCTCTGCCAGAAGTAGATTGCACACAACACCGAAAAAGCAGTTAGGAAGTTTATTCTTCAGCCTTTGTAGTCGCCCGATTTATTATGCCATCGCAAAAGAACAGCACAGAAACAAAATCTAAGGAAAATATTATGCATTGCTGCAAATCTCTTCCTCATAAACAATCCTACACGTCACCCATTCTTCAACTAAATATGGTCTTCAAGTCTCCACTGCAGTTGTAAATACTGGCTGTTTTCTCGGTGCCTCTGCAGGACTGATGGCACTCATAAGGCGACGAGCGCAGTGTTAACCGAGTGACCTCGGGGATTTATCAATACACTTTCAATCCCAATAGCCTCTGAGCAGAGAGTTATTCAGAAAGGAGACTAATTGGAAACAGTCACAGTAGAACAGTTGAAAAAATACAAAGATTAGCAGGCATTTTGAACTTTATTCATCCATCACGCTAAAGTCAACAATTGTGCGTTGCCCGCGGTGCTCTTTCCTGTAACGCAATTTCACAGCAATCTTCCCTCTCTTTGAAGAAGAGTCTCCACAACCAGAGAGCAGAGATCCGGAAAACAAAAACAAATAGAGAGTGCGTCTTGTTCCAGCTCTGCCTGCATGATCGCAACGCTATCAACCTTCTGCCACTGCAAGTCTCCGAGATATCGCCATGGATTTCCTTCTCTGCACCATTTCATTGCCAAAGCAGAGCAATGGAAAAACTGGAAACAAATATTCTTTCCATCTAGCACCTACAGTGTACGTTCTGGACTGCGAGTCACTTAGGGCTACCATAGCCTTGCCCACTTGACATGATACAGGTCTGTAGAACATGCACACAAGGTTAACTTTCCTGTTATCACAAGCTAATACCATTTTAAACTCCCCCAGGTTAGGTGCTCTAACTGCAGATTGCCCAAGATTCATTAGTAGCAAATAAGTTTTAGTTGTGGGCAGCGCAACGGCACAGTGGTTGGTGTTCCTGCCTCACAGCCTCAATTTCAGAATTGGGGTGCTAACTCCATTGAACTTGAACTTTATTGCCATATGTAACCGGTACTGGTACAATGGAATTCTTACTTACAGAAAGTCTCTCGATTGTAAAACAAGTGTAAAAAACAAAACAAAGTGCAATGGCTTTTATATGTCCTCCTGATGCTCCGGTTTAGTCGCAAAAACTCAAAAAGCACTGCTAGGTTAATTGGCTTCTAGGCCAATGTGTTGGTGTCTGTGCCCCCCGTGATGGACTAGCGTCCCAGCCAAGGTGTATCCTGCCTTACTGCTTGCCAGGTTAGGCTCCGGTTCCTCCGTGGCCTTGAATTGGATGAAGCGGTTAGGAAATTATGGATTTGTTTTTCTTGTGTTGCACTTACCCTAGATTCTCATCGGAATGCAGATTTCACGAAAGACCGATGGCAGAGATTTTTACGAGGATGATCGGAAAAATAGGCAGATCTTTTGCTGGTGTCCTCGCAGGTAGTTTCTATTCCTCAGACAGGATAACAAACGGGTCCAGTATCAAAGAGATTCATTTGGGAACGCAGCTATTACAATCTTGCGAATCAAATTAATACTCTTGTATGCTGTGAAAGTGGGGGTTTTATGTTCTGTCAGGGATTCTTCTTCTGCTATACATTAACACCCAAAGACACAGATAATAGATCTGGAATAGGGAGCCCTTTGTTTTCTTGTTGGGTGCTATTGCACCATCAAATTGAAAACTGTTCTTTTGAATATACAATGCTGGATACTGGAAAAAAAAAACTAACTCAGCTGGAAAGAAGTGCAGCAATTTACATAATTACTACTGTTGCAGAGTACCGTTTGTATCGGTAAAAAGCCATTTTAATCTTTCCTGAGTATTAAAGTAAACCAGGGGTCTCAAACTCAGTTCCTGGAGGATTTAGGGTTTTCATGGTTCCAAACTGAACAGTCAATTCCAAATTATTTTCTAAACTAAATAGATAAGATTCTTAAAGTAATTTAAAGTTGACTGTACCAATAAGTGAATGATGCCTACAAACCACCTTGGAGCCTGTTTAGAAGTATTCTAATTGTACAGCTAATTAAAAAAGGGGAAGAACTATATCAGAGTATGGGTCCTTTTCACACTCACACTTAATCCAGGTAACAGACATTTGAAGCAGAAAAGGATGAAGCTTCAGGTCTCGGTAGGTGAGAAGTGCTTGGCTTTCTGCCATATTTGCTAAATAGTTTCCCTACAGACTAATTTGCAATAATTCCAGCTGTGAACGGACACCTCCAAATACCAGCTTTCGTCAACATAAACTAGTAACCAGGAATATAGAATCGGGTTCCAGCAGAGATTTAAACTGGGAAAACAACCCAAGTAGCTCAAGGTCCCCCAGGCTGAACCAGGAGCTCCCAAAACAGGCCTGGGCCTCCCTATCATCTGCCTTGCTTGACTAGAACCTTTGAAAGTTTTT